TCCTTCCACCTCAGCCTTCCAAGTAGCTGGAACTACAGGTGCGCACTACCACACCGGCTAATTTTTTTGATTTACTGTAGAGATGACATCTTGCCAAGTTGCCCGGGCAGGCCTCGAACCCGCAGGCTCAGGCAATCCGCTCACCTCAGCCTCCCAAGGCACGGGATTACAGGTTGAGCCACCGAGCCCGGCTTGTGGGGATATTCTTTAATACTGACTTTCTCTTCCTTCCCCGGCACCTTGTCCTCACTTGTGACCAGAATACATCCCCGGAGCTGGCGAGGGTCCTCTGTGCACACTGCGGCCGCTGACTCTGCAACCTTCACTCTCCCTGCCGCCTCCCCCCTTGGCTCTTTGGAGGACGGCCAGGAGCCTGTGGACATAAGGGTAACAATGGCAATCACGTCCTCGGGGACAGCCCTTTAGAGTTTGCAAAGCCCTTTCCATGCATTTGCTCATTTATGTGGATAATAGCCCTGAGATGGACAGATAAGGGTCTATGATTTGCCCAATGCCACAGTGAGAGGCTCTGCTGGGTTTCACAGCCGGCCCTCCTGACCCCCAGATTCATCCTCTCTCCACTGTGCTGCAAAATTTCTCCAGCAGCCTTGGTTCATTGGAAATTAAGCTCTTCTGGCTTAGTACCATGACTAGAAAATGGCCAACCAGGGGCTCTTTTCCTCCCCATATTAAGGCACATCTGACCATGTTCTTGAGCCCTAATGAAAGGAGACAGCATCTTTCTATTAGAGATGCATTGGCTTTCTGGGAAGAAAGCCTTGAGCAGTTTTACGAGGGGAGCCCCTTTATTGACGAACAATTGTGTATTTAATTTTTTTGGTTTTTTTTTTTTTTTTTTTTGAGTTGGAGTCTCACTCAGTTGCCCAGACTGGAGTGCAGTGGCACGCTCCCGGCCACCGCAGCCTCGGCCTGCTGGGCTCCGGTGATCCTTCGGCCTCAGCCTTCCAAGCAGCTGGAACTACAGGCGTGCGCTACCACGCCCGGCTAATTTTTTTATTTTATTGTAGAGATGAGGTCTCGCCAAGTTGCCCAGGTGGGTCTCGAACCCACGGGCTCAGGCAATCCACTCACCTCGGCCTCCCAAAGCGCGGGATTACAGGCTGAGCCACCGAGCCCGGAGTGTATTTAATCTTACATGTTTAAACTTCAGTCACCTTCAGAGGACTCTCCGTGTGATGCAATACACCTATCGAGATGCTTTTCCCACTGCTCAAAACAGTTTTTGAACTTATCCACGTTGATGCCTTTTAGTGCTTCTGCCGGTTCTTGTTTCACCTCTGCCACACTGGCAAAGCGTTTCCCTTTAAGGACATTTTTCATGGGGAGAAACAAAAAAGTCGCTTGGCGCGAGATTGGATGAATAGGGAGGGTGGGGCTTGGGGTCGTGCTTTTGGGGTCAAAAACTGCTGAGGACTCAGCACAGTGTGGGCAGGTGCGTCGCCATGGTGGGAGAACCAGTCACCTGTTTGCCACAACTCGGGAAGTTTCTTCTGCAATGCAGCCTCTCACAGCAAGACTAGCTGGTACATGGATGCCGCTGGGTTCCTAGAACACTTACCTAAGCAGGGGAAACCTAGACACAAGGGCTCTGCCCTCCAAAAGATAACTCCGGGTTTTTGGGGTCCCCCTCGCACATCCCAGTAATTGCTCAGGCAAAATGAGTCTGAGTTGGGATCTCTGGAGCCACCTCTCTGCTGCCACAGCCTTGGGGGGAGAAACCCCAGGGAAGCCGCAAGCCTCTCTGCAGGGCGAGGGCTCCTTTCATCTGAGCAGCCTTAGGACCTCATCCTTCTTCTAGTGCCTCAGAGGCTTCAGTCAACACTCCACACCCTTGGTTTCAGATGACCAGTTTCCCAAGGAGCCCCTTCCCGGCCCGGAGTCACTTTGATGTCAGCGGGACTGTTGGTGGCCTCTGCCTGACCAACCCTAGTGGACAGCTCATTCCTGTGAAGAATCTGTCGGAGAACATCGAGGTAGGAGTCGGGGGTGTCATCAGAAGTCAGGTGGCATTTCTGTCTTCTTTTTCAACTTGAAGACCAAAAGTCGGTAGGTTATTATTATTATATTTTAAAGTAGTTAAAGTCCAGGCAGGGTGGCTCACACCTATAATCCTAGCACTTTGGGAGGCCAAGGCAGGGGAATCACCTGAGTCCAGGAGTTCGAGATCAGCCGGTTATGGTGGGGCACACCTGTAGTCCCAGCTACTTGGGAGGCTGAGGCAGAAAGATTGCCTGAGACCAGGAGGTCGAGGCTGTGGTAAGCTGTGATCACACCACTGCACTCCAGCCTGTGCGACAGAGTGAGACTCCGACTCAAAAAATTTAAAATAAATAAATAAAATAGGCCAGGCATAGTGGCTCACACCCGTAATTCCAGCACTTTGGGAGGCGAAGGTGAGAGAATTGCCTGAGCCCCATGGTTTCGAGACCAGCCTGGGCAACTAGGTGAGACCTCAGCTCTACAGTAAATCAAAAAATGAGCCAGGTGTGGTAGTGCACACTTCTGGTTCCAGCTACTTGGAAGGCTGAGGCAGAAGGTGAGCCCAGCACAGCGAGGCGGCGGTGGCCATGAGCATAACACTACACTCCAGCCTGGGCGACAGTGAGACTCTGATTTTAAAAAAGTAAAAAAAAAAAATATTAAAAAATAGGTAAATAGACTGGACATGGTGGCTCACACCTGTAATTCCAGCACTTTGGGAGGCGGAGGTGAGAGGACCGCCTGAGCCCCCATGGGTTTGAGACCAGCCTGGGCAACTTGTCAAGACCTTGTCTCTACAGTAAATCAAAAAATTAGCCAGGCATGGTGGAGCATGCCTGTGGTTTCAGCTACTTGGAAGGCTGAAGCGGAAGGATCGCCTGAGCCCAGCAGGTCAAGGCTGTGGTGGCCGTGAGCACGCCACTGCACTCCAGCCTGGGTGACAGAGTGAGACTCCTACTCAAATAATAATAATAATAATAAGTAAATAAAATGAAATGGCCAGTTAGATTTTCTTTAAGGTTAAGTAAAAACATCAGCACACCATGGTACAATATGAGTTCAGTTTCCTTGAAGTTGTTTTTTTTTTTTTTGAGTTGGAGTCTCACTCTGTTGCCCAAGCTGGAGCGCAGTGGCATGCTCACAGCCACCACGGCTTCAACTTGCTGGTCTCAGGCAGTCCTTCCGCCTCAGCCTTCCAAGTAGCTGGAACTACAGGCATACGTCACCATGGCTGGTTAATTTTTTTATTTACTGTAGAGATGAGGTCTCACCAAGTTGCCCAGGTTGGTCTCGAACCCCTGGGCTTAGTCAATTCTCTCATCACCTTCCAAAGGGCTGGGATTATAGGCTTGAGTCACCGTGCCTGGCTCCTTCAAGATTTTAATTATTTTTTCCTAGTTTTTTTTTTTTTACAATGTTCTCATCAATGCTTAATTCAGTAACAATTTTCAGTCCCGTCCACGTCCTCGTCCCTTGAGCCTATGAATGTGTCACCTTATATGCAAAAGAGACGTTGCTGACGTGCTGAGTTGAGGATTTTGAGACGGGAGAATGAGCCTGGACTCTCCGGGGGGGGGGGCCCAGTGGAACCATGGGGTCCTTTTCTGAGGGAGGTGGAGGGGAGTTGACCCAGAAGAGGAAAAGGTGATTTGATGACAAGCGAGAGGTTGCAGTGACGTGAGAAGCTCCACAAGCCGAGGAGTGCAGGCCCATTCTCCCCGGGAGGCTCCAGGAAGAGCCAGCCCTGCCAGCTTTGGCCCTGTGAAACTGATCCTGTAGTGTTTTTAATTTTTATTGTATTTATTCGAGACAGGGTTTCACTCTGTCGCCCAAGCTGGAGTGCAGTGGCACGATCACAGCTCACCGCAGCCTTGACCTCTTGGACTCAGATGATCCTCACGCCTCAGCCTTCTAGTAGCTGGGGGGCTAGGCGCCCATCACTGCCCTGGCTAATTTTTTTTTGTGGAGATGGTGAGGTCTTGCCACATTGCTCAGGCTGGTTTCCAGCTCCTGGGCTCAAGCGATCCTCCCGCCTTGGCCTCCCAAAGTGCTGGGATTACAGGTGTGAGCCACCACGCCCGGCCCAAATGTATATTGTTTTAATCCACCCAGTTTGTCATTCTTGTGACAGAAGCTGCAGGAAACTAACATGACTACCATGCGAGCCCAGGGGGGATTTCAGCTCCTAGGCACTCACGCTGCCCAGCTCTGCACAGCAGCGCTGACGCTCCCTGGCGGGCATCATCTTCCCAGCATGCCCTCCATAGACGGTTTCTGCCTGCAGATCCTGCTGCCCCAGCTCTCCGGAGGTCCTGGGGAGCCCACGGAGTTGCGCCTGACCCGTACCGAAGCTTTGAGGGTGAACGTGACCTCGGGGAAGGCGGCTCTGGGGGTCCAGCTGCACTGGAGACCCGGGGTCCCGCTCACGCTCCGCCTGGGCTACGGTTACCACCCGAATGAGACCAGCTACGACGCCCAAACTCACCTCCCGCCAACAGCAGGTAGACCGTTCCCTGGGCTGTTTCCTGGGGGGCGTGGCCAGCTTCACCTGAGAAGCAGAAGCCATAGGACCAAAAAAAAAGCAGGCCGGGCAGGTGGCTCACACCTATAATCCCACCACTTTGGGAGACCGAGGTGAGAGACTTGCCTAAATTGCCTGAGTCCACGGGTTCGAAACCAGCCTGGGCAACTTGGTGAGACCTCATCTCCACAATAAATCTTTTTTTTAAAAGTCAGCCAGGCGTGGTGGCGCGTGCCTGTACCTGTAGTTCCAGCTACTTGGAAGGCTGAGACGGAAGGATCACCTGAGCCCAGCAGGTCAAGGCTGTGGTGGCCGTGAGTGTGCCACTGCATTCCCGCCTGGGCGACAGAGTGAGACTCCGATTAAAAAAAAAAAAAAATGCAAAAACAAACAAACAACCACAAAAACACAACTGGCATAGTCAGTGGCTTATTTTTGTTGCTGTATGATTATTAGCCAACGTTAGGTAGCATTTAACTATATGCCCTGAAGATAGTGACAGGCACGTGTATATCTGACCTCATTGCATTCCTCCTGATGACCCTTGAAGTTGGGGACTACTGGGATCGCCACTTTCCAGACAGAACAGAGAGGTCAAGTAACTGGTCTGAGATCACACAGTCAATAACAAGCAGAATCGGCATTTGCGCCCTTGTCTGTCTGACATGACTCTGCAAGGGGACCGGGAGTGCCCCCTTTTCTGTGCTCCTAGTCTCACGGGAGAAGGTCCTCCCAGGGTATAGGTGGACGGGACATCAGAATCTGCTTCCCTGCTCAGTTGCCTCGGTCCCCCTCTCCCACGGTGGTAGCCCCAATCTCACCGAGGCTGACCCGGACCCCCTTTTCTGCAGAGGACCTGTCCACCTGGATACTGGGCCCCCAGGACCTGCGTTTTGGAGAGGGGATCTACTATCTGACTGTGGCCCCCGAGCCTGGCCTGGAGCCAGCCCCTGGCGGAGACCTCACAGTCGGCATCACCACCTTCCTATCCCACTGTGTGTTCTGGGACGAGGTCCAGGAGACCTGGGACAGCTCGGGGTGCCAGGTAAGGAGAGAGAAGTGAAGATGACAAGGTGGCCTGGCAGTCCACGCTGGCTCCTGTGGGGCCCCCTCGAAGTGCCTCTGGTGCAGCGTCTCTCGCTCCTGCACGGGGCCTTTGCAAATGCTATTCCCTGTGCCCAGAATACCCGCCTCGCCCCTATCCCACCCTAAGCACCGCTTCCTCGAGAAAATTGTCCTCACACCCTGACCGGGTCAGATTTCCTGTTGTCATCTCCAGAGAACACAAGTCCCTCACCTGTAGCACTAAGAGTGGTTATTTTAAGGCCGGGCATGGTGGCTCATGCCTGTATCCCAGCATTTTGGGAGATGGAGGCCAGAGGATTATCTGAGCCCAGGGGTTCGAGACCAGCCTGGGAAACTTGGACCTGATCACCACAATAAATCGAAAAAATTAGCGAGGTGTGGTGGTGTGGGCCTGTAGTTCTAGCTACTTGGAAGGCTGAAGTGGAAGGATAGCCTGAGTCTGGCAGGTGGAGGCTGCAGTGGCCGTGAGTGTGCCACTGCACTCCAGCCTGGGTGACAGAGTGAGGCTCTGACTTAAAAAAAAAAAGTGCTTATTTTACATCTACATAATATAGTTTTAAAAAACTAGCCAGGCATGGTGGCACACACCTGTAGTCCCAGTTACTTGGGAGGCTAAGGTGGAAAGATTGCCTGAGCCCCGGAAGTCAAGGCTGCTGTGAGCCGTGATCGTGTCACTGCACTCCAGCCTGGGCAAGACAGTGAGACTCCAGCTCAAAAAAATAATAACAAAATTAAATAAATAAAACAAAAAAATAAATGATGTCTGTCTCTCTCGTTGCCCTGGGAGTCCCATGGGACAGGAACAACATGCTTTGTTTGCTACTGGGAACAGAGGATCATTGAGCCACGGGACACACGACTTAGGAAGCCCTGCTGGCTCTGGGCTGCCGGGGGGAGGCCAGGGTATCATTTCCAAGGAAATGAACTCTGCTGAGCCTGTTGTTCCCCACCAGGTGATGTGCCCCATGCTCTGCTTGCATCAGCTCCTCAAACCTTCCCAGTGATCTCCAAGATAGTTGTGATGCCCATTCTGCAGGTGGTAAAACAAAGGCTTGGGAAACTCAATGGACTTGTCCAATTCCACTCCTAGAAAGCAGAGGAGCTGGGATACGAAGCCAGGTCTACCTGTCTCCAGGCAGCCTTAGTGCTCTTGGCCGCTCCGCAGAGCCCTGGTGGCACTTGGCCTTAGCAATGCAGTCAGACCCCTGCCTCAGGTCAGCAGCTCTGCCCCACCCGCAACTGGCCCTGCGGCCAACCTTGGTCTTGAGGCCATCAGAGTCGTGTTCCCCACCTCCCTGAAAGCCCCTCTGACCCACCCCTGCCTGCCACACTCGTGCTTGCCTTTAGCTGCAATGCCATCTTCTTGGGGATCTCCCAGAGCATCCGTTGGATTCCATAGCATTTCACACCCTTCCCGAGAACAGCAGCCGCCACGTGGCCTTGAAATTGACCGCACGCCAGCCTCCCTCCGTGAGCTCAGAAGTGCTTTCATTTATCCAACAAAGAGTCACCATGTGCCTGGTGGTGGGGACAGAATGAGAAAAGCTGGGGGCCTTTAGCCTAGCAGAAGACAGAGACAAGCAAATGGCACACACGTGTCACATGACGACAGTCACAGAACGATGGGAAGCCTGTTCGCACAGGACGGCGGCCGGAGGAGACTCCCAGCCAGCTCCTTCTGGGCTTGTTTGTGTGGCAGCCTCAGCCCCCTGGCAATTCCCGCCCTGGCTTCTGGCTGCCCCACACAGGGAGTTCCCCAAGGCGCCAAGAAGAAACCAGGGCTCACGGAGATGCCCACAAGACAACAGTTTCCCATGCTCACAAGACTTTGCACTCCAGAAACAAGACCCTGGGAGTACGGCGACCTCCCTGAGTTCCTAGGCTTGAGGCTCAGAACGTGTAGGGGTCAGGGCACAGGCTCTGCCATCAGACAGATGTAGGCTCAGCCTCTCTTCATCAGTACTACTGGTGACCTTGGACCAATCACCCCACCTCTCCGAGTCTTCCCATCCAAAAATGGGGATAAAGGGAGTAGTGGCTCATGCCTGTAATCCCAGCACTTTGGGAGGCTGAGGCAGGAGGATCGCTTGAGGCCAGGAGTTCAAGACCAGCCTGGGCAACATAGTGAGACCTCTTCTCTACAAAAAAAAAAAATTAAAAAAACCTAGCCAGGCATGGTAGATGTAATCCCAGCACTTTGGGAGGCAGAGATGGGAGGACTGCCTGAGCACACGGGTTCGAGACCAACCTGGGTAACATAGCGAGACCTCCTCTCTACAATAAATCAAAAAATTAACTGAGCGTGGTGGTGCACGCCTGTAGTTCCACCTACTTGGAAGGCTGAGGAGGAAGGATTACTGAGCCCAGCAAGTTGAGGCTGCAGTGGTGGCAAGCATGCCAATACACTCTAGCCTGGGTGACAGAGTGAGACTCCAACTCAAAATAAATAAATTTAATTAATTTAAAAACCTAGCAGGATGTGGTGACATGTGCCTGTAGCCCCAGCTACTTGAGAAGCTGAGGCAGAAGGATTGCCTGACCCCAGGAGGTTGAGGCTGTGGTGAGCCGTGACCGTGCCACTCACTTCACTCCAGCCTGGGTGATAGAGTGACATCCCGACTCAACAAAACAAAACCAAAAATTGTGGGACGGGCAGAGGTCATATGTAAAAATGTGTCCTGGACCAAAAATTATGACCAATCTAGTATTATGTACTTGATGCTGTACATTGTGTATAGATATATAGATATAGATAGATCTCTCTATATACATAGAACTGAGATATATAGAGATAGACATATATAGAGTTCATTGAGGAACCACGAATATGTAAATTGGGTCATTGTGTTTGAATGGAAACCTCCACCGAATTCTCTAATTTTTTTGTTTTTTCTTTGAGTCAGAGTCTCACTCTGTTGCCCAGGCTGGAGTGCAGCGGCATGCTCATGGCCACCGCAGCCTCGACCTGCTGGGCTCAGGCGAACCTTCCGCCAAGTAGCTGGAACTACAGTTGTGCACCATCATGCCCAGCTAATTTTTCTTGATTTATTGTAGAGATGAGCTCTCACCAAGTTGCCCAGGCTGGGCTTGAACTCGTGGGCTCAGGCAGGCCTCTCACCTTGGCCTCCCAAAGTGTTGGGATTATAGGTATGAGCCACCATGCCCTGCTTGAATTCTCTTTTTTTCAAGTCAGGGTCTCACTCTATCACATAGGCTGGAGTGCAGTAGCACGCTCAGGGCCACTGCAGCCTCGACCAACTGGACTCAGATGATCCTTCCAGCTCGGCCTTCCAAGTAGCTGGAACTACAGGCGTGCACCACCACGCCCAGCTAATGTTTTTATTTATTGGAGAGGCAAGGTCTTGCCAAGTTGTCCAGGCTGGTCTTGAACCACCGGGCCCAGGCAATCATCTCGCCTCTGCCTCCCAAGATGCTGGGATTACAGGCGTGAGCCACCGCCCCCACCTTGAATTGTCTAAATAGCCAAAGAAAGTTCCCTTTACCGGGGGTACAGGTAGAATTATTGCAAGAGCTCTGAGAACTGTATTCCTGCACTTGTATTCTCTCTAAGGATTCTAAAGGTGCAACCATGTTTAGGATCCGCAGATGACTTTCTGATGTTCAAAGGTACCCTCATGCTGGTAAAGGCTGGGATGTCACTGTCCCTGGAGTCTTTGTGAAAACTCAGGAGGGCAGAGATGTTGGGCGTCCATCAAGGCTGGTCCTGGGGCTCCAGCCCTAAGGTCTTGTCACAGGCACCTGCTCAGGGTTTTCCCTGAAACTGGGCCCCACCCCCTCGGCGTGCCAGGTGTTCCAGGAAGCGCCGCAGCTGTGTGCCAAATGCTGGCCGGGATTGGGAAACAGAGAGAAGAACTGAGGCTCGCCTGAAATTCATAATGAATGGTTGGCACCGGGCCCGTGGGGGACAGGTGAGCCTTTGCTGGTGGCTCATTAAGGCAGAGAGACCGAAGTTACCTCTCCAGCCTGATGGGGCGGTGGTGGATTCCTCCTCCCCAGGTGCTTGAGCAGGGAAGATCCTTCTGGAAGCCAGGCTTTTCTGCTCCTTCATGCCTGATTGCCCCCTGGTGGAGGCTGGAGTGAAAGGCCGTGGTGTGTTGTTGGGTTAGATCAAAGCTTTACTCATCAGCTGGGCAAACGGATGAGTCAGTCTCCCTGACATCCTCAGTGTCTAGTCCATGGCGGGGCATTGAATTAGCACCCAGCAAATATTTGTCCTGTGAATGGCATCGGTTGGCAATGGACGGAGGGTACAGCCCAAATGTGTGATCATGCTTGCTTATGGAGGTGGGGACAAGGGACACCTCAATTTTACCTGCAACGCTTCTTATCTAAAAAAAGCTACGTTGGCCGGGTGCAGTGGCTCATGCCGGTAATCCCAGTACCTTGGGAGGCCGAGGCAAGAGGATTGCCTGAGTCCAGGGGTTCGAGACCATCTTGGGCAACTTGGCAAGACTTCGTCTCTGCAATAAATAAAAAAATTGACCAGGCGTGGTGGCACGTGCCTGTGGTTCCAGCTATTTGGAAGGCTGAGGCGGAAAGATCCTCTGAGGCCTGAAGGTCGAGGCTGCGGTGGCCGTGAGTGTGAGTGCCCTGGGCAACAGAGACTTCCACTCAAAAAAAAAAGTCGAAGTTGGCCAGGTGCAGTGGCTCATGCCTATAATCCTAGCATTTTGGGAGACCACAGTGGAAGGATTGCTTGAGGCCAGAAGTTTGAGACCAGCCTGGGCAACACAGTGAGATCCCTATCTCTAAAAAAAAAATAATAATAATTAAAAAAAATTTTTTTAAAGGCAAAGTTGGCTAGGTGTCAGTGGCTCACACTTATAATTCCAGCATTTTGGGGTTTTTTGGGGGGTTTGTTTTTAATTCCAGCATTTTGGGAGGCTGAGGCAGGAGAATCGTTTGCGGCTAGGAGTTCAAGATCAGCCTGGGCAACATAGTAAGAACTGGTCTCTAAAAAACAAAAAATAACCAGACCTGTTGGCATACGTCTATAATCTCAGAAACTCAGGAGGCTGAGACAGGAGGATCGCTTAAGGCCAGGAGTTCAAGGCTGCAGTGAGCCTTGATTGGGCCACTGCACTCCATCCTGGGTGATAGAGCAAGACCCTATCTCCAAATAAAATAAAGTAGCAAAGCAAGTTGTCAAATTGTAGACAGGTGCATATTGAGAATGATGGATACAAAGACGTTGGTTACAACTAATATTCTCTGCCTTTGAAAATGAATTTTCACCTCAGTTCAAATTCAAGTCACCGCACCAAGAAAAAACAAACAAACAAAAAACCAGAAAATGAATTTCTTTTTTTCTCAGGCCTGTAATCCCAGCGCTTTGGGTGGTGGAGGCAAAAGGATTGCCTGAGTCCAGGGTTTGAGACCAGCCTGGGCAACTTGGCAAGACCTCGTCTCTACAAAAAATCAAAAAATTAGCCAAACATGGTGACACACGCCTGTAGTTCCAGCTACTTGGAAGACTGAGATGGAAGCATTGCTTGAACCCAGCAGGTTGAGGCTGCAGTAGCTGTGAGCATAAGACTCCAACTCAAAAAAAGTAAAAGAAAATGAATTTTCAGTTAAATGAAAAGAACTGGGGGAAGCCTGAAGCTGGCCTCACAGCCATCTCCCAGCCCTACACCCCGAAATAGGCCCACCCCTCAAAGCCAACACCATTCTACTCCCTTGGGTTCGGGCGAGCGGGTGAGCCTCTACCTACGGTCTCTCTGGGCATTGCAGGTGGGACCACAGACCACCCCCCGGCAGATGCACTGCCTCTGCAACCACCTCACCTTCTTTGGAAGCACGTTCCTGGTGATGCCCAATGCCATTGACGTCCGCCAGACCGCCGAGCTCTTTGCCACCTTTGAGGACAACCCCGTGGTGGTGACCACTGTAGGCTGCCTCTGTGTGGTCTACGTGCTGGTGGTGATCTGGGCAAGAAGGAAGGATGTGCAGGACCAGGCCAAGGTGAGGGGTTACAGTCCCTGGGAATGGGTGGAAGGAGCAGGTATGTCCCCTTGCAGGGGCCTCAGGGGGTAGAGCCCGGGACAGGGGTCCGCTGAGGGACCAATGACCAGTCCAAGCTTGACCCCTGGGGTTGTCTCAGACAAACCGGCTCCTCCTCCTCCTGTTCTACAAAATATCCTTTTGCATTAAATTATCAGGAGGGGGATGACACTGGCCACTTACTGAGGGCACACTACACGCCAGGCATTATTGCTTTGTTCTTTTCAAGTCAGAATCTCATACTGTCACCCAGGCTGGAATGCAGTGGCACACTCACGGCCACTGCTGCCTCGAACTGCTGGGCTCAGGAGATCCTTCCACCTCAGCCTTCCAAGTAGCTGGGATCACAGGCATGTGCCACCACAACCAGCTAATTTTTTAAAAAATTTATTGTAGAGACAAGGACTCGCCAAGTTGTCCAGGCTGGCCTCAAACCCCTGGGTTCAGGCAATCCTCTTGCCTCCACCTCCCAAAGTGCTGGGATTACAGGCATAAGCCACCGCATAGAGCTGTTTTTTTCTTTTGAGTGGGATCTCACTCTGTTGTCCAGGTTGGAACGCAGTGGCACAATCATAACTCACCACAGTCTCAACCTTCTGGGCTCAGGCTGTCCTTCAGCCTCAGCCTCCCAAGCAGCTGGAATTATAGGCATGTGCCACCACACTTGACTCATTTATTTTTATTTTTTGTAGAGATGAGGACTCACTATGTTGCCCAGGCTAGTCTCAGAGTCGTGGTCTCAAGCAGTCCTCTCACTTCAGCCTCCCAAAGTGTTGAGATTACAGGTGTGAACCACGTGCCTGGTCATAGCAGCCCTATGAGAAAGGTATCTGTACAGGAGTCTCCAAGACCACCCTCGGGTTCAGTGATTTGCTAGAAGAACTCAGCACTCAGAAAAGCTGTTTAATTCATGGATATGGTTTATTATAGCAAAAGGATCCCAAGTAAAATCAGGCCAGGACAGTGACTCATGCCTCTAATCCCAACACTTTGGGAGGCCGACGCAGGAGGAACGTTAGAGCTCAAGAGTTCGAGACCAGCCTAGGCAACATAGCGAGACTTTGTCTCCATAAAAAAATAAAAATATTTATTAAAAAAATAGGCCAGGCGTGGGGGCTCACGCCTGTAATCCCAGCACTTTGGAGGCAAGAGGATTGCAGGAGCCCAGGGATTCGAGACCATCCTGGGCAACTTGGTGAGACCCCATCTCTACAATAAATCAAAAAATTAGCCGGGTGTAGTGGTGTAGGCCTGTGGTTCCAGCTACTTGGAAGGCTGAGGCAGAAAGATCACCTGAGTCCAGGAGGTCGAGGCTGTGGTGGCCATGTGCATGCCACTGCACTCCAGCCTGGGTGACAGGGTGAAACTCTGACTCAAAAAAAATAAAAAAAAAAAACAAGTGCTTCAAGCTGGGCTCGGTGGTTCAGCCTGTAATCCCGCACTTTGGGAGGCTGAGGTGAGTGGATTACCTGAGCCCGCGGCTTCAAGACCCGCCTGGGCAACTTGGCAAGACCTCATCTCTACAATAAATCAAAAATTAGCCGGGCATGGTAGCCTGTAGTTCCAGCTACTTGGAAGGCTGAGGCGGAAGGATCGCCGGAGCCTAGCAGGTCGAGGCTGCGGTGGCTGGGAGCGGCCACTGCACTCCAGTCTGGGCGACAGAGTGAGACTCCAACTAAAATAAAATAAAATAAAATAAAATAAAATAAAAGTGCTTCTGTCACAGGTTCATTCCTGAGGAATTAGACTAGGTGGAGTTGAGCATCACGATGCTGATTCAGGGGTGTCTGGGACCAGCACCCGGGAAGGGAGGGAAGGGACAGGATGGGTGGAGGGAGAAGCCTTGCTGTGACATAGCTGATGACTGCCCAGCCTGCCCCTTAGGAAGTTCTGAAGCTGTTCCAAGTCAGGTTGAGACGCTGCACCATACGGTCATCTGCTGCTGGCTGTGCCCAAAGGACAACCTCAACAGAGGTGGCACTGGCAACCTTGGCAACAGCACCCCAGTGACTGGGCAACAAGCCTTCTTGGAAGGGAGGTCTGGACAGCACCTCTCAGAGTCCATGAGACGCCCTGACCCAATCTGGTTAACTTTCTTTCCTCTAAACCATCTTAACATTTAAATTTCTTTTAAATTCCTTCAAAGGCTGGGCGCAGTGGCTCAACCTGTAATCCTAGCACTTTGGGAGGCCGAGGCGAGAGGATTGCCTGAGCCCGTGGGTTCGAGACCAGTCTGGGCAACTTGGCGAGAACTCATCTCTACCATAAATCAAAAGAATTAGCCAGGCATGGTGGGACATGCCTATGGCTCCAGCCACTTGGAAGGCTAAGGCAGAAGTATCGCCTGAGCCAGCAGGTTGAGACGGCAGTGGCCGTGAGCATGCCACTGCACTCCAGCCTGGGCGACAGAGCGAGACTCCAACTCAAAACATAAAAAAAAAAATTAGCCAGGTGTGGTGGCACATGCCTGTAGTACCAGCTACTCAAGAGGCTGAAGTGGGAGAATTGCTTGAGCCCTGGAGTTCAAGGCTGTGGTGAGCTGTGATTGTGACACTGCACTCCAGTCTGTGTGACAGAGCGAGACCCCAATGCAAAAAAGAAAAAAGACCCACAATTTGGGAGACTGAGGCAGGAGGATTGCTTGAGGTCAGGAGTTCAGGACCACCGTGGGAAACAAAGCAAGCCCTTGTCATGACAAAAAAATGTAAAAGATTAACTGGGCATGGTGGTGCATGCCTGTAGTTCCAGCTACTTGAGAGGCTTAGACAGGAGGATTGCTTGTGCCCGGGAAGGTTGAGGCTGTGGTGAGCCATGACTGTACCACTGCACTCCAGCCTGGGCAGCAGAGTGAGACCCTGTGTCTCTACATAAATAAAAATAAAGAGCACAATCTGGTTACTAAAATTTTTAAGAAACAGTATGTGATAAGAGTATCTGATCTCAAACCAGGCAAAGTGGGGACCAAAGGGAGGACCACACTTTACCTGTACGATGATCACTTGTACACCTTATCCTGAATTGTACCCCACATCTTTAAAATAAAATTTAAAAATTTTTTAAAAAGAAGCCGGGCTCAGTGGCTCAGCCTATAATCCCGCTCTTTGGGAGGCTGAGGTGAGTGAACTGCCTGAGCCCGCGGGTTCAAGACCCGCCTGGGCAACTTGGCGAGATCTCATCTCTACAAAAATAAATTAAAAAATCAGCCGGGCATGGTAGTACGTGCCTGTAATTTTGGTTACTCGGAAGGCTGAGGCGGAAGGATCGCCGGAGCCCAGCAGGTCGAGGCTGTGGTGGCGGGGAGCGGCCACTGCACTCCAGTCTGGGCGACAGAGGACTCCAACTTAAAAAACAAACAAACAAAAAAAACAGTATGTGAAAGAGTTTACATAGTTCACCAGATCAGATGTTGACATTCTCAGCTCCAATTCCAAGTTCATTTCCAATTGAGCTATGGAGGGTCCTATCCAACCAAGAACCCACTGTGTGCTGTTTTATTTTCTCCACATGTTTTACTGGAAGCCCTGCTTCCAGAAAGAACAGCTCTCACCCGAGGGAATGAGTCCACAGCACATGCAAATTGACTTTTGCACTTTGATTGTCATGAGTGTCCTGCTCGTCCTCGACTGGTGTGTGTTGGGTGAACCCATGCGGGGAACCTTCTGACATCATCCTTCTGTCCAGGTGAAGGTCACAGTGCTGGAGGACAATCATCCCTTTGCCCAGTACCACTACCTGGTGACAGTCTACACGGGACACCGGAGAGGGGCAGCCACGTCCTCAAAGGTACCTGACCCTGCAGGATTCCGCGGCTGATCAGCGTGTCAAGCACGGGCTGTGCCGCTGTGAAGTCGCGTTCGCGCGGAGGGTTTTGCGTTGTTGGATTTGTTATCTCTTTGGTTTTTGATTTTTAGAGAAAATAATCTTATCACCAAACAAGATATCACCGTAAACCCCAATATTTGAAAAGCTAAAGGGGGAGTGGTTGAGAGAGGGCCGGGGTCTGGTTTTGAGCTTACTGGTCATCTCTCTTCTCTTCATCAAAGAATAACTCGGACATTTGGTCTGTTCTCCACAAGCAAGTGTGCTTCCATGGGAGGCAGAATAGTCAGTGAACTGCTGTGGTTGGAAATTGAAAAAGAAAAAGAAAGAAAGAAAGAAAGAGAGAGAGAGAGAGAGAAGGAAGGAAGGAAGGAAGGAGGGAGGGAGAGAAAGGAAAGGAAAGGAGAGGAAAGAAAAGAAAAAGGAGATTGGATAAAACAGAATTTATAAGAGAAGCTAGAAGGGAAAGAAAGAAAAAAGAAAAATTCCCAACAATTTGAGGAAGACGGTGAGCCTTAAACCACGTTTTTCAGGCAGACCAACTAGCTGGCATCTCTCTAGGAAGTCAGATTGAGCCATCTGGCTTAGAGCAGGCTCACCAGAGGTACAGGAGAACACTGAAGTCCTTGAGTGCCTCACTGTAGAGCACACAGCAGGCTGTCTCTGTTGTGTCCCAGCATGCACAGTTACACCTGGTCCAAGCTGGGTCCCTTCTCAGAATATCGTCTTTTGTGCAGCAGCCTCCGAGGTTCCCTTGCTGAAACTGAGGCCTCCACAGAACTCAGTTTGAGAACCAATGGCACCGTGTACACAGCTCTGGTGAAAACTCCATTGTTCTCAAAAATGACATTTGGTTTCATGAGAACAGGGAAATATTTGTCTAGTTAGTTAGTCAGTCAGTCAGTCAGTCAGTCAGTTAGTTAGTTATAGATAAAGGTGGGGTTGGCAGGGAGCAGTGGCTCAGCCTGTAATCCTGGTGCTTTGGGAGGCCGAGGCGAGAGGATTGCCTGAGCTCAGGGGTTTGAGACCAGCCCGGGCAACTTGGTGAGACCTCGTCTCTACAAAAAATAAAAAAATTAGCCGGGCGTGGTAGTGCACACCTGTAGTTCCTGCTACTTGGAAGGCTGAGGTGGAAGGATCACCTGAACCCAGCAGGTTGATGCTGGGTGGCCGTGAGCATGCCACTGCACTCCAGCCTGGGTGACAAGAGTGAGACTCCAATTCAAAAAAAATGGGGGGTCTTTCTATGTTGTCCAGGCTGGTCTCAAGCTCCTGGGCTGAAGCAATCCTCCTGTCTTGGCTTCCCAAATTATTGGGATACAAGCATGAGCCACCACACTTAGCTTCTCTGTTTATTTGTGTTGTCTATTTTATTTTATTTTACTTTTCAAAATTTTTAAATTTTTGAGTCAGAGTCTCACTCTTGCCCAGGCTGGAGTGCATGGCATTCTCACAGTTACTCCAGCGTCGACCTGCTGGGCTCAGGCAATTCTTCCACCTCAGCCTTCCAAGTAACTGGAACTATAGGCTCGTGCTACCATGCCTGGCTAATTTTTTGTGTGTGTGTTATTTTGTAGAGATGAAGTCTCACCAAGTTGCCCAGGTTGGTCTAAAGTCCCTGGGCTCAGGCAAGCCTCTCGCCTCAGCCTCCCAAAGTGCTGGGATTACAGGTTTAAGCCACCACGCCCAGCCTATTTTTATTTATTTTTACTTTTTATTTTTTGAGTTGGAGTCTCACTCTGTTGCCCAGGCTGAAGTGCAGTGGCATGCTCACAGTCACCACAGCCTCAACCTAATGGGTTTAGGCGGTCCTTCTGCCCCAGCCTTCCAAGTAGCTGGAACCATAGGTGCATACTACCTTGCTCGGCTAATTTTTTAAAATTTATTGTAGAGACGAGGTCTTGCCAAGTTACCCAGCCTGGTCTCGAACCCCTGAGCTCAGGGAGTTCTCTCACCCCAGCCTCCCAAAGTGCTGGGATTATAGGCTTGAGCCACTGCACCCAGTCTATTTTATTTTTAAATTTTTGTTTTTTATTGTTTTTATGTGTGATTAATATTTTTTTTAATTTAATTTTTTTTAGGTATTGCTATGTCCTAGACCAGCTTTCAAACCCAGAGCAAATGCTTGGTAGCTATTTGCTGAATAGATGTAGGAATCCCTTTCATCCATCTGATGAAACATTCATCTCACATCTGTTTGACACTGCGGAGTTGACCGCAACAGGGAAGGAGCGATAAACCTCGGATTCACAGGCCATTTCTCTTCATGGAGAGTTGCGGTCACATTTCAATTCGATGTTGTCTCACTTGAGTTCCCCTAGAAGAATGGGTCTCAACTAGGAGTGACTGTCCCCCAGGGACAGTTGGCCATGTTGGAGGCATTTTTGGTTGTCACAGCCTGGGGCAGGAGGGGCTCCTGACATCCAGGGGTGGGGCCCAGGGATGCTGCTGAACAGCCTTCGAGGTGCAGGATGGCGCCCACCCCAGAGGATGACCTGGCCCCAAAAGTCAGTAGGGGAGGCAGAGAAACAAGGAGGGCTGCGGAGGATGACTTGAAACAAGGATTCAAGTGCGAGTCGTTTATTTAAGAGAGGCCTGAGAAACACCGGCAGGGGAGTGGGGAAGCTGGACAGGGAAAGAAAGGTAGCCAATAGGGATATGTTATCAAACCGGTGGCCCCTGTGGTTGACTGGAGACTGATCTGCTGGGGACTCAAAAACAGTAAGGAACATGGCCTCAAAGTCATCCCACCCAAGGCATGAGAGAGCCGGACTATCTATCCACCAGCTCCTATCAATTCCTGGCTGGGAATGGTGTGCAGGGGGGCACTGATTCTCTGGCAATTCCTGCCTGCTGCTCTAACAGTCAAAGGCAGCCCCAGCAACTGCAGGCAGGTGGACGTGGGTGCAGGTATTGCTGCAGTGGTGAGGCTGAGGGATAGAGCCCAAGCATGCGCACGTACACACACACACACACACACACACACACACACACACACACACACACACACACGGCATCTGCTGCAACACTGTTTCTGACCCAGTCAGGCCTGCCCACCGGCATCTCCTGAACAGATCAGAAAAACAGATCCCAGGGCCTGATCCCCAATATATATATATATTTTTTAGTTGGAGTCTCACTCTGTCACCCAGACTGGAGTGCAGTGGCCGCTCCCGGCCACTGCAGCCTTGACCTGCTGGGCTCCGGCAATCCTTCCACCTCAGCCTTCCAAGTAGCTGGAACTACAGGCGCGCGTACCACGCCCAGCTAATTTTTGATTTATTGTAGAGATGAGGTCTTGCCAAGTTGCCCAGGCGGGTCTGGAACCTGCGGGCTCAGGTAATCCACTCACCTCAGACTCCCAAAGTGCGGGATTACAGGCTGAGCCACCGAGCCCGGCTAACGTCATTTCTTTAGATTAACCTGGGATTGGACAGGGAGACAGTAAAAGTGGGAAAATCAGAGCATATGCCATGTCATGGCCAAGGGAAAAGATAACGATGGTAGGACTTGGGTGTCAGCAGAAAAGGTGAACAGGAACAGATGGATGGAATTTTTATGCTTGAGATAGACACTACCACAACTGCCTTGAAATGTGAGTTTTAAAAAGGAAGGTAGATAGTGGAATTAAGGATGAATCTCATATTCTATATATAGCAAATAGGTGAATTTGCTAGGATGTGAAAGATTTGAGGTAGGACCAGATTGGGGGGGGCAAGAGGATTGGAGTTTTATTTTTGATATATTAGGTTATAACATGCCTATGTAACCAAAAGGAGAGTGATGGAGCTGGCAACTGAAATACAGGATTGCCAAGGAGACACAAGAGGGTAATGACCAAAGCAAACCCAAGAAAGTGTGATACAGAATCCTAGAAAAGGGACCGTGTCTCTGCTGGGTAAGATGAGGCAAATGGAGAGCAGTGTATCTGACAAAAGTGATGTCCACAGGGATGGTAGTTGAAGTCATACTGGAGTGGCTCGAGACATGACAGGAGTGAGGATGGTGAAGGATGCATGTGGAGATGACTCAAAATACTTGTCTGTGAAGGGAAGCTAAGGGGTGTGGCAGTTTTAGGGAGGTAAGTTTTGGTATAGCAGATAGGATCAGTTTTGGTTGCAAGTGATACAAAAGATAATAACAATAGTTTATACTTGATAGATGTCTATTTTCTCCTCATGCTAGAGGTAATAGGGCCAAGGCTACTCTGGTATCTCCCCAAACAACAGGGTACCAGATCTTTCTCCCAGCTACGCCAACATCAACATAGGAGGAAGGGCAGAAAGGCTCAGACTCCCTCACTGAGAATTCTGCTAAGAGGTTGAAATACTGTATCTGTTTACTCGTATGGTCACACCTAGCTGCAAGAAAAGCTGGGGGAATGATGCTCATTCCAGGTGTTCATGGACCCAAATAAAAGCATAAGTTCTTTCAACAAGGAAGAAGAGACAATGGATATTGAAAATCAACTATCATCTTTTGCCGAATAGAGGGTTTGATCTTTGTTTGTCTGAACAAAATTGAAGTGTTTATACAGCTTAGTTTGTATACTGATCTGGTAAAGAAGGAACATTGGATGCAGGAGAGCAATGGAACAAAATCCACAGAATCCTCAAGAAGAATGAGAGCTTAAGATTCAGAATCTAAATAGAGGACCTGGCCTTTGCAAGCTGGAGGCATCTTTCATCAGTTGTAATCAAGAAGAGAAATATAACACAGTGTAGATATGTGAGTTTTGATATTTTATTTTATTTATTTATTTTTTTGAGTTGGAGTCTCACTCTATCACCCAGGCCGGTGCAGTTGCATGCTCATGGTCACCTCAGCCTTGACCTGCAGGGCGCAGGTGATCCTTCTGCCTCAGCCTTCCAAGTAGCTGGAACTACAGGCGTGTGCTTCCATGCCTGGCTAAGTTTTTTGATTTATTGTAGAGATGAGGTCTCACCAAGTTGCCCAGGCAGGTCTCGAACCCGCGGGCTCAGGCAATCCACTCACCTCAACCTCCCAAAGCACTGGGATTACAGGCTGAGCCACCGAGCCCAGCTCCCAATATTCTTACTTGGTGGGTCTAGGGCAGGCCCTGAGAATGTGAATTTTCAAAGTAGTGGTCATTCATTCATTCATTCCTCAGTGCCAGGCACTCTGAGAGGCACTGGGAATACAATTCTGGGGGAGCAGCCAATGCCTACCCCGCAGCCCTTATGAATAAATATATGTGGATTTTGAACAGGCCATCAGGAGTCATTTTATGAGTTTAAGTGATCTCAAAAGCAGATAGTGGCACCCCAAATCCACATACAATGGAAAAAATAACTCAGGCATGCCCAAGATGAGGACGGTGCCGTGCTCTCTTGTTTTTTGCTGGTTTCTGGCCACTTCCCATGAAGCAAGGACAGCAAGGCTTGGTGACCGCATGGAGTTGGCTGCTCCTCTCTCTGGATTTCAGGTGACTGTCACCCTGTATGGCCTGGATGGAGACAGTGAACCCCACCTCCTGTCCGACCCCAACAGCCCGATCTTTGCACGAGGAGGAGTGGATGCCTTCCTGCTCTCCACCCTGTTTCCACTGGGGGAACTTTTGAGCCTCCGGCTGTGGCATGACAACTCAGGGGACCGGCCATCCTGGTGAGTGGGGGCAAGAAAACCATAAGAACCTAGAAAGTGCCAGGCCCAGGGCTGAGCACCAGGCATATGCTGTCTTCTTGATCCTCATAAGCCTCTGCAAGACACAAAGCATGGAGCTCCACTTAGATGAGGAAACTGGGGGTCAGAGAGGCCCAGTGGTTCATGGTCCACATAAACTGGGTCAGTAACGACAAGAAGGACTGGAAGTTGCAGGCCTGGGGTTTAATGCTTGCCCTACCCTTGGCCCTTCTACAGCATCGACCTGTGACTTGCCCAGGGTTACATAGCTGGCAAGTTCAAGGTCCTCCCCATTCTGTCTGAGGCCAATACAAGTGATCCAGATGCATGGTGTCCAGTCTGACCGCCCATCCGCAGTTGGCAGCTTTAGAAGAACACAGCATTTGTACTGCTATCTTTTTTTTTTTTGTTTTTGAGTCTGGGTCTCACTTTGTCACCCAGGCTGGAGTGCAGTGGCACAATCACGGCTCACTGCGGCCTCAACCTCCTAGGCTTGAACCTCCCAAGTAGCTGGGACTACAGGTGTACACCTGCTTTTTAAAAAAATAGAGATGATGGCCGGGATCGGTGGCTCAGTCTGTAATCCCAGCACTTTGGGAGGCCGAGGTGAGTGGATTGCCTGAGCCCGCGGGTTCGAGACCCGCCTGGGTAACTTAGCGAGACCTCATCTCTACAATAAATCAAAAATAAGCCGGGCGTGGTAGCACGTGTCTGTAGTTCCAGCTACTTGAAGGCTGAGGCGGAAGGATTGCCGGAGCCCAGCAGGTCGAGGCTGTGGTGGCTGGGAGCGGCCACTGCACTCCAGTCTGGGTGAAAGAGTGAGACTCCAACTCAAAAAAAAAAAAAAATAGAGATGAGGTCTTGCTATGTTGTGGCCCAGGGTGTTCTCGAACTCCTGGGATCAAGCAACCCTCCTGTCTCGGCCTCCCAAAGTACTGGGCTTACCAGTATAAGCCACTGCACCTGGCTGTCTTTTTTTAACTTGTAAATTTAAAAAAGGATTACCTGAGCCCACGGGTTCGAGACCAGCCTGGGCAAATTGGTGAGACCTTGATCTGCAGTAAATCAAAAAATTAGCCAAGTGTGGTGGCACACGCCTGTGGTTCTGGCTACTTGGAAGGCTGAGACAGAAGGATCACCTGAGCCCAGCAGGTTGAGGCTGCAGTGGCATGGGCAACAGAATGAGACTCTGATTAAAAAAAAAAACAAACTTGTAAATTTCATGCACAAGTTGTTACTATTCTTATTGGCTGTATAGCGACAGGGTGAATGAACTGTGCTGGACCTGGCGTCCCAGGATAGGCAAGATGATTTCAGTTCTCCCCCAGGCCTTGAAGACATAAGTCAAGCTAGATGATACCCACAAAGTCCTGAGCCCGAGGTAAATGGTGAACTTGTTCTCTGGCTAGAAATGCAAAAGGCCAGCCAGGCTCGGAGGCTCAGCCTATAATCCCGCGCCTTTGGGAGGCTGAGGTGAGTGGATTGCCTGAGCCTGCGGGTTCGAGACCTGCCTGGGCAACTTGGTGAGACCTCATCTCTACAATAAATCAAAAATTAACTGGGTGTGGTAGCGCGCACCTGTAATTCCGGCTACTTGGAAGGCTGAGGCGGAAGGATCGCCGGAGCCCAGTGGGTCGAGGCTGTGGTGGCCGGGAGTGGCCACTGCACTCCAGTCTGGGCGACAGAGTGAGACTCCAACTCAAAAAAAAAAAAGAAATGTAAGAGGCCATGTTCCGTGTACTCCAGCCTGTACCTGCTATGACACACACACTTTAGATAACTTGGGTCTATCGCTTATGCCTGGACACTGGCCTTGGCTTGATGCCATGTGCAGGGGTTCACAGTTTCAAAATGCACTTTTTGCAGCCAATGTGTGAAAACGTGGTAGCTTTCCAGAGCTGGCTGTTTATACCAGCTGAACTCCCTGTGTGAGGCCAATTTTGATCAAGGTACCAAGGGTAACGAAGAAAAACACGGTTCCTTTTTTCAGAAGTTCTTGTTCATGGGGTCCAGGTTTGCCAAGTGGTATCCAAGGAAGAGTTATCCCCCTCCTCCCTTACCCTCAAAACCATGGGTCCCAGCTGGGCGCAGTGACTCACGTCTGTAATCCCAGCACTTTGGGATGCGGAGGTGAGAGGATTACCTGAACTCAGGGGTTTGAGACAAGCCTGAGCAACGTGGCGAGGCCTCAAATCCACAATAAATCAAAAAATTAGCCAGACATGGTGGTGCATGCCTGTGGTTCCAGCTACTTGGAAAGCTGAGGCGGAAGGGTCGCCTGAGCCCCACAGGTTGACACTGGAGTGTCTGTGAGCGTGCCACTGCACTCCGCCTGGGCAACAGAGTGAGACCCTGACTACAAAAAAAAAAAAAAAAAAAAATCAACTGGCACGGTGGCTCATGACTATAATTCCAGCACTTTGGGAGGCCGAGGTGAGAGTACTGTCTGAGCCCATGGGTTCGAGACCAGCTTGGGCAACTTGGCAAGACCTCATCTCTACAGTAAATCAAACAATTAGCTGGGCATGGTGGCGCTTGCTGTAGTTCCAGCTACTTGGAAGGCTGAGGTAGAAGGATTGCCTGAGCCCTGCGGGTCAAGGCTGTGGTGGCTGTGAGCACGCCACTGTACTCCAGCCTGGGTGACAGCGTGAGACTCCGACACAAAAACAAACAAACAAACAAAGAACCATGGGTCTCTTCTCCAGGTATGTTAGCCGGGTGCTGGTCCATGACCTGGCGATGGACCGGAAGTGGCATTTCCTCTGCAACTCATGGCTGTCCATCCACATGGGAGACTGCGTCCTGGACAAGGTATTTCCAGTGGCCACAGAGCAGGACAGGAAACAGTTCAGGTACTTTTTTTTTTAAGCAAATGCTCTTTGTTCTTGTATATTAAGGGAAGTTGCATCACAATGCATTTGCAGCCAAATAAAAAGATATGGGCAACATAGCGAGACCTCATCTCCACAAAAAAAGAAAAAAAAATCAAAACATCAGCCAGGCATGGTGGCGCATGCCTGTAATCCCAGCTAAACAGCTACCCTGCTAATTTTATATCTTTAAAGAATGCTACATTTAGGCCAGGTGCAGTGGCTCACACTTATAATCCCGGCACTGTGGGAGGCCGAGGTAAGAGGATTGCCAGAGTCTACGGATTCAAGAACAGCCTAGGCAACTTGGCAAGACCTCATCTCTACAATAAATCAAAAAATTAGCCAGGCATGATGGCACGTGCCTGTAGTTCCAGCTACTTGGAAGGCTGAGGAGGAAGGATCGCCGGAGCCTAGCAGGTCGAGGCTGCGGTAACCGGGAGCGGCCACTGCACTCCAGTCTGGGCGACAGAGTGAGACTTCAACTCAAAAAAAAAAAAATGCCACATTGACCGGGCACAATGACTCATTTGTAATCCCAGCACTTTGGGAGGCCAAGGCAGGATGATTGCTTGAGCCCCGTAGTTCCAGACCAGCCTGGGCAACATAGCGAGACCTCGTCTCTACAAAAAGTAAAAAAAAAAAAAAACAACACAACTAGCCAGGCATTATGACACATGCCTGTAATTCCAGCTACTTGGAGGCTGAGACAGAAGGATCACCTGAGCCAAGGAAGTCGAGGCTGCAGTGAGCCATGATCGTGCCACTGCCCTCCAGCCCAGATGACAGAGAGAGACCCCAAGTTAAAAAACTAACAAAATTATAGCAAAACAATCATGCTCACCCTGATTGACCACTGAAAGATATGCCAACTCCCATCCCACATGTTTGACAAAAATTGTCAGTTTAAGGCCAGATGCTGTGGCTCAAGTCTGTAATTGGGAGGCCAAGGTGAGAGGATTGCTTGAGCCCAGGGGTTTGAGACCAGCCTGGGCAACTTGGTGAGACTTCGTTTCTATAATAAATTAAAAAATAAACCACGTGTGGCGGTGCGGGCCTGTAGTTCCAGCTACTTAGAAGGCTGAAGTGGAAGGATCGCCTGAGCCCAGCAGGTCGAGGCTGCAGTGGCCAATGAGCACGCCCCTGCTCTCCAGCCTGGGCTACAGAGTGAGACTCCAACTAAAAAAAAAAACAAAAAACTGTCACTTTAATTCGTTCAATAATCCAGTGAGGTAGGTTCTGTGATTATCCCCATTTTGCGGGTGAATCATCGAAGGCACAACACATCTGTAAAGTAGCTTGCTGGGTCATAGCTGGTGCGAGGGCAGGCTAGTAGGACTCCATCCAGCTGTTTCTGGAGTCCCCAAAATTAAGTGAAGCTGCTGTGTTGCCGTATAACAGAAGAAAACAGAGATGCTAAATCTTAGAAACAAATCCCTTCCCCTTCCTTATCCCAAGATTGCCCCAAAGGACCCAGCCTCTCCCATCCCTGCCCTCTAAACGCCTGTCCCCTCTCCCCACCTGCCTGCAGCCACCTGTTTTTCATGAAGACCTCTTCAGGCTTCCAGGATGGGCACATCTGGTATTCTGTCTTCAGCCCCTCTGCACGGAGCAACTTCACTCGGGTCCAGAGGGTTTCCTGCTGCTTCTCTCTGCTGCTGTGCACCATGCTCACCAGCATCATGTTCTGGGGTGTCCCCAAGGACCCGGCTGAGCAAAAGATGGACTTGGGTAATTCCTGCTGTCATGGCGGTCGGGGCTGTGAGCCTTCTCTGCCCCAGCAATGTCGCTGTGATTCCAGAGTCCCTGAGACCACCCTCGAGTGCCTGATTCACTAGAAGGACGCACAGAATGCAGAAAAGTCATCGTACTCACAGTGATGGTTTATCGCAGCAAAAGGAAACAGTAAAATTCAGCTAAGGGGCTGGGTGCAGTGGCTCATGCCTGTAATCCCAGCACTTTGAGGGGCTGAGGCAGGAGGATCGCTTGAGCCCAGGAGTTTGAGACCAGCCTGGGCAACATAGCGAGACCTCGTCTTTACAGAAAATTAGCCAGGTGTGGTGGCATGCACCTGTAGTCCCAGCTACTCGGGAGTCTGAGGGTGGAAGGATCACCTGAGCCCAGGAGGTTGAGGCTGCAGTGAGCCGTGACCGTGCCACTGTACTCTAGCCTGGGTGATGGAGTGAAACTCTGACTCAAAAAAGCAAAAGAAAAGAAAGAAAGAAAAAAGCCCTTGTACTCACAGTTATGGTTCACTGCAGCAAAAGGCTACAGATTAAAAGCAACCAAGCCTGGGCAGCTTGGTGAGATTTCTCTACAATAAATCAAAAAATTGACTGGGTGTAGTAGCGTGTGCCAGTAGTTCCAGCTACTTGGAAGGCTGAGGCGGGAGGATCGCCGGAGCCCAGCAGGTCGAGACTGCAGTGGCCATGAGCGTGCCATTGCACTCCAGCCAGGGTAACAGAGTGAGACTCTGACTCAAAAAAAAGAAAAATCAGCAAAGGGAAGAGGGGCCAGGTCCAGAAGGGAGCAGGTGTGGAACTTTCTGGCGTCCTCACCCAGTACACTTACACTGGTGCTAACTTCTCCTGACAACGATGAATGACAGTACCATCAACCAGGAAGCTTACCAGAGCCTTAGCGTCCAGAGTCTGTGCTGGGTCTTCGTCATGTGGATGTGGCTTACACCTGCATGGCTGACCTTAGCCATCAGCCCTTCCAGAGGCTCAGCTGACACCACGTGGCCCAGGCCCCCACCCTAAATCCCATCCTGCCCCAGGTGGACAAAGGCACTCTTGCCAAGCAGGACATCCCATGGGTATAGAGGCGACCTCCCAGGCCCTGGGCAAGGCTAAACCTTCACCTCATGGCCACCTGCTGGAAGGGGTAGGGGTGGGAGAGCCTGGGCTCGGGGCAGTTGCCTCCCCTTTGACCCTTCCCTCCTCTTCCCCAGGTAAGATCGAGTTCACGTGGCAGGAAGTGATGATTGGCCTGGAGAGCTCCGTCGTCATGTTCCCCATCAATCTGCTGATCGTTCAGATCTTCCGAAACACCCGTCCCCGGGTTACCAAGGAGCAGAACACTGGAGAGTGGGATGGGAGCCCTCCCGACCTGAGGCCCTCACCACAGGTCGAGCAGGATGGCCTTCTGACGGCCGAGGCGGTGACCAAGGCATGTCCCCCACCTCAGTTAGTGGGAGTGCTCCAGCCTTGGCAGAAGCAGGGGTGTAGGTGGGGCATGGGGCCCGGCAGAGCCCTGGCTTGTCTGATGGCATCAGTTGCCAAGATTCATCAATTGAACACATACGTACGCACATTGCACAGATGCATATACACACATGCACACATGTGCACGTACACACATATGCACAAATACACATATACATGTGTGCGCCCATATGTATGCACATACATGCACAAGGATGCAGGCATACACATGTATGTATATGTGTATCCACATGTATACATATATACATGCACGCAAACTTTTGAGGACCTACTATGTGCAAAATATTCCTCTTTTCGGGCTTCCAGCCCATGAAAGAAACTCCTCTGCCTGCTTTCAAGCACTCAGTAAGTTTTTTTTTTTTTGAGTTGGAGTCTCTGTCATGGCTCAAGGCCACTGCAGCTTCTACCTGCTGGACTCAGGCGATCGTTCTGCCTCAGCTTCCAAGTAGCTGGAATAACAGATGCATGCCATCATGCCTGGCTACTTTTTAATTTATTGTAGAGACAAGGTCTTGCCAAGTTGCCCAGGCTGGTATCGAACCCGTGAGCTCAGGCGATCCTCTTGCCTTGGCCTCCCAAAGTGCTGGAATTATAGGCATGAGCCACCACACCCAGCACTCAGTAAGCTTTTATTGAGCACCACTATGTGCCATGTTTGCGACATACAACCTGGAATGAGCTCAAGCCCGAGAAGAGGGGTTTTGGAGGTGACAGACGGAAGCTTGGGGGTTGGTACCAGATCTCAGAGGGCAGAACGGGGTTCCCGTTCGACCCCTCGGCTACACCCCTGCCGGCGCCTCACGTCGCCTTTCCCCATCTGGGCTGCCTGGCAGGATGTGAGGACACTGGTCCGTTCACTGTTCAGAGCCCTGAAGGTGCCACCCCCTGCCTTGGACCGGGACCCGGTGACCCCGATGGACATCAATACGCTCCTGGCCTTGGTGGAAGGTGTCGTCTGTCCACAGACCACGGCAAGGCGGGTGTGCTGGGAGGAAGCCAGGAAGAGAGAGGACCCTGCGCCGTGCCTGTACAGGTCTGCACAGGAGGAAGGTAAGTCCTGGGCATTTCTGTGCCAAGAAAAGCTGCATTTGGGGCTGGTGGAGACAGGGGAGAGGGGGCCTGTGTCACGAGGAGGCCACGAAGTCATGCCCGGGCCTCCCTCATCAGCTTCTGCTGGAACCCCTGGCCGTCACCTCCGCCCCACGCCAGAGGCCCTCGCTGTCCCTACAGTGTCACGCCACCTTCCCACCAACAGTTGTCACATAGGCTGGTCCTTTGGCCTAGAACGTTCTTTCTCCTTCCTGCGACACTTAAGCCTTCACATCCAGGCCCACGTGGATCCCGTGGTTTTGTCCCTCACTCCATCCACTCCACATGGTCGAGCCACACTGAAGGATTTGCCCCAGAGCGCCGGGTGTGGACTATCTTTGAGGGTCGTTCCTGTGGGACTCTGCTTGGACTGGACGCTTGAGTCCAGGGGCTTTGGCATTCACAGCTGGACACGCTGGCAGGGGGCTGTGGACCTTAAGAACATGAACTCTGGAGTCGGCCAGATCCTTGGGATCTCCCTACTGTAATAGCAGCTATGCAACTTTAGTCAAGATGCTCGACCTCTCTGAATCTTAGTTTCCACCTCTGTACAATAGAGGAATTGATCCACCCAGCTCCTTGGCTTGTATAAGATCACAAGATATGTAAAATGCCTAGGTCCCGGCCTGACACAAAGCAGGCATTCAGTAAGCTCTGTTATGATTGGCAGGGATGGCATCTTCCAGAAACTTTAGAAGAAGCCAGGCAACACAAAGGGTGTTGATTGAAATCTTCAGGTGAGGCGTCAGTGAGGGAAGTCTGAGCTGGGAGTGAGGGAGGAGGCTTCCAGTCATAGGAAGGTGGGCGTCGACCTCACTGTAGGCATTTACCCAACTCCCGGCCTCAGCTGAGTCCAGGTCAGAGCTGCAGACACCAGCCACAGCCTTCTCCACATGCACATGCCATTTTCATATCACCCCTCAAATAACCAGTGCTCACACTCCTGGAAAAGATGAATACTAGTCTAGAACCGGGTCCTAACTAGCCCAGTGTTATGATCCAGCTTACTGCAACCTTGAACTCCTGGGCTCAAGAGATCCTCTTAGGCCGGGTGCAGTGGCTCACGCCTGTAATCCCCCAGCACTTTGAGAGGCTGAGGTGGAAGGATTACTTGAGGCCAGGAGTCAAAACCAGCCTTGGCAACATACTGAGATCTCATCTTTATAAAAAAAAAAAAATTAGCCAGGTAGGCTGGGCGCGGTGGCTCACACCTACACGTGCCTATAGTCCCAGGAGGATGTGTCCCTGGACGGTACCCTCCCAGCTCAGGGCCCAGGGACTGAGGCCAGGCATCACCTGTAGAGGTCAAGTTTCTCTTAAAAGACACAGAACAGTAGCCGGGTGTGGTGGCCTGTGCCAGTAGTTCTAGCTACTCGGGAGGCTGAGGCAGGAAGGAGACTCTCTTTTTATTTGAGTCAGGATTTCACTCTGTCACTCAGGCTGGAGTGCAGTGACATGGTCACGGCTCACTGCAGCCTCGACCTCCTGGGCTCAGGTGATTCTCTCACCTCAGCCTCCTGAGTAGCTGGGACTACAGCTAAGAGAATCTCTTGAGCCCAGGAGTTCGAGGTTGCAGTGAGCTATGATCACAACATTGCACTCTAGCCTGAGCCCACTTTGGGAGGCTGAGGCAGGATGGTCGTTCTCTCCCAGAAGTTCGAGACCAGACTGGGCAATATAGCAAGAGCTCATCTCTACAACAACAACAACAACAAAAATTAAAAAACTAGTTGGGGGTGAGTGCTGTGCATCTGTAGTCATGGCTACGTGGGAGGCTGAGGTGGAAGGATCGCCCGAGCCCTGCAGTTTGAGGCTGCAGTGAGCTGTGACCCTGCCACTGCACTACAGCCTGGAAGGCAGAGTGAGACTCCAATTGGAAAAGATGCAATAAAATAAAACAAAAACCAACTATGGAAGAACGTTCATGAGATAATCAGGGGAAACTGGACCACAGATTGGCTATTTGATGCTAAAAAGGAATTATCGTTACTTGTTTTAAAGTTTGACATTATATTATGTCTAAAATAGTACAAAGGAAAAAAAGAGACGAGACAATATTGGCCAAGTGTTGGTAACTTGTGTTGTGGTGGGGTGTTGAGTCCAGGAAGCATCTCTCATCTTTCGCCCTGTAAGAAAATTTGGAAAATGTCCCTGATAAAAACTTAAAAGAGAAACACTCAAATCCTAACTGGGCGAGTCACCCCAGAACCTGGCCCCATCTCTTTGAAACTCAGATTTCTCACAGTGTGGCAGCTAGCATGTGTTTGATATTCGAAAGCTGCTACTATTATTGTTGTTGCTGTTTTTAGAGATGGAGTCTTGCTTTGCACTCGGAGTGCAGTGGTGATTACAGCTCACTGTAACCTTGAACTCCCAGGCTCAAGCGATCCCCCTGCCTCAGCCTCCTGAGTAGCTATGACTTCAGGTTTTGATACAGAGACCCGCTAATGTCCATTCATATTGCCACAGCCCCTAGAGAAGGGCATGGCAAGGGTTCAAGCACTCCTGCACATTCCTGAGCACATTCCTGAGAGTTCCCTTGTCTTCTGTGCACTCCCGTAAATAGCTTCAGGGGATCCTCGACTTTCCTGCAGTCTTTGCCCAAAGATGTAAACCCCTCTTCACTCCCCTTCTTAATAGTCACAGGTTTGAACAATATAATATCAGTGTAATCATAAGTCTTGTGATTTGCATAACTTTTGCAATGCATGATGTCTTAGGCCTTGTGAACTTCCTTTACTCTAAATGTTCACTATCTAAATGTAAAATGCAGCTGTAACTTAAGTTCTATACAATGCCCTGCTGGTCATGTGGCTAATATATAGGTACTGACAACTCTGGAAGATAAAAGTGGACTGCAAGGCCTGAAGGGTGAGAAGAACCATTTTAGAAAGACCTGGAGTCTGGCTCTGCTCCCTGGATTCAAACTCAGAAATAAACTTCTTGCTACCAGTTATTTATCAGTATAGTATCAAGCGAGAGCAGCTGAGTGTTACTTGGACCATATCAGCTCGAGACACCATGCCCAGCTAACTTTTTATTTTTTAGTATTATTATTTTTTGATTTGGAGTCTCTGTTGCCCAGGCTGGAGTGTGTGGCATGCTCACGGCCACTGCAGCCTCCACCTGCTGGGCTCAGGCGATCCTTCTGCTTCAGCCTTCCAAGTAGCTGGAGCTATAGGGACACGCCACCACGCCCGGTTAAGTTTTTTATTTATTATAAATATGAGGTATCACCAAGTTGTCCAGGCTGTTCTCAAACACCTGGGCTCAAGCAGTCCTCCCGTCTCAGCCTCCCAAGTAGCTGGGGTTACAGGTGAGAGCCCCTGAGCCCAGCTGTTGTTTTTATTGCAGCAGGTTTGCTCTGTGACTCAGCACAAGCTGATCGCCTTCCTTCCTGTCCCCCAGAGAAAATGCAGTGCCCCAAGCCCGAGGTGGCCCAGAGTGGTCTCTGGAAGAACAGTGTCTACAGGCAGTGTCTCCACCTTCAGCTAGAGCACTTGGAGCGAGAGTTGCGGCTGGTGGGACCCCGAGGCTTCCCCCAGCGCCACAGCCATGACCGAGCCCTCCGTCAGCTGCAGACCCTGAAGGCCTGCCTATGGAGGCAGCCAGGCACCCCAGACCTCGCACACAGCAGGTAATCCATTCCTCTGGGTGTCCCAAGTGATTCACTCCTCTGGGTGCACCAGGCAATTCACTCCCCTGGGTGTGCACGGGTGCCTGACCTCCCCAGCCTGCGACCTGCAGGAAAGGGCACCTTTAACAACTCCAGAAGGACATTCACCCAGACCTTCCAGGCTGAAAGGATGCAGGATTCCTGCAAACATCAGGGAGGATGTTTGAACAAGGCTATTTGCTGGAAGGCACTTAGCAGCCCCTTGCACGCACTTTATAACCATTTTCTTGTGGGCTGTTTCCTAGCTCTGTACCCTCAGATCAATCCTGCAAACTCCCTGAGCCTCAGTTTACTCATCTGTACAATAGGAATGATAGTGTCTATCTCTTGTTTTAAACTTGAAACAAAATATGTTTTTTAAGATAATCAGCAAAATATAAATGCAGATAGGTTAGTAGATGACATTAACAAATTGTTAATTTTGTCATGTGACAACAATAGTGTAATTCAGTAAGAAAGTGATCACTTTTGAGATGCATTCTGAAGTAATTAGGGATGGTTTTGTACTGTCTAGTATTTTATTTTTTATTTTTTTTGAGTTGGAGTCTCACTCTGTTGCCCAAGTTGGAGTGCAGTGCCATGCTCACGACCACCTGCTGGGCTCAGGCGATCCTTCCGCCTCAGTCTTCCAAGTAGCTGGAAATACAGGCATGTGCCACCATGCCCAGCTAATTTTTTGATTTATTGTAGAGATGAGGTCTCACAAAGTTGCCCAGGCTGGTCTCAAACCCCTGGACTCAGGTAATTCTCTGACCTCAGCTTCCCAAAGTACTGGGATTACAAACATGAGCCACTGCACCCAGTTTGGAATTTTATTTTTAAATATTCCAGCCAAAATAAAGAAAACAATGGAGTGTGGGATCAGATGATTTAATATGACAAGGTGGTGATGGGTGTTGAAACTGCCTCATAAGTGCCTGGGTGCTCACTGAGTTTTGTAGGATGAGAAATGTTCATCATAAAACATGATATGAGCCTGATATGGTGGCTCATGCCAGTAATCCCAGCACTTTGGGAGGCAGAGGCGAGAGGATTGCCTGAGTCCGGGGCTTCAAGACCATCCTGGGCAACTTGGCGAGACCCCGTCTCTACAATAAATAAAAAAATTAGCCAGATGTGGTGGCACGAGCCTGTAATTCTAGTTATTTGGAAGGCTGAGGCAGAAGGAGCACCTGAGCCCAGCAAGTCGAGGCTGTGGTGGCCACGAGCATGCCACTGCATTCTGACCTGGATGACAGAGTAAGACTCCGATTCAAAAAAAATAAAAGATATGGTACCCACCTTCCAGGCTTGCCATGAAGAACAGCAGAGCAAATCTGTGGAAAGCCATGAGTACAGGGACTGTCCCCTAGTGAGTACTGAATAATGCAACTTTTACGCAGTAGAATATATAGAATAGCCCTTTGAGGTGGGTACAAGTTACAGAGGAGAAAACATAGGGTCTAAGAGGTCCCAGAGCTTGTCCAAAGTTACGGACAGTAGCTGGTGGGGACGGAGTGGGATTTGACCTGCTGGGGCCACCCTGACCATCTCTGTCCTCTTTTGTAGCACCCTGCGGGTGAGCAGGCCCCTTCGCGGGCTGCCCTGGTGGTGCGTCCTGGTGGGCTGGCTGCTGGTGGCGGCCACCAGCGGTGTGGCGGCCTTCTTCACCATGCTCTATGGATTGCACTACGGGCGGGCCAGCTCCTTCAGATGGCTCATCTCCATGGCTGTCTCCTTGATGGAGAGTGTGTTCGTCACCCAGCCCCTGAAGGTCAGGACTGCCCCAGGTGCCCGCCCATCCCTTTCCTCCTGCCAACAGTCTCATCCTTGGGCTTTGGCCATTTGTTAATTTATTCATTCAACAAACTCATCATCACTCTGAGCAGACTTTGGAGCAGAGAGGAAGGATCAAGAAGATAATGACTGTAGGCCCGGCAAGGTGGCTCAGCCTGTAATCCCAGCACTTTAGGAGGCCGGGGCGAGAGGATTGCTTGAGCCTGGGGGGTTGAGACCAGTCTGGACTATTTGGTGAGACCTCGACTCTACAGTAAATCACAAAAACTAGCCAGGCGTGGTGGCGTGCGTCTGTAGTTCCAGCTACTTGGAAGGCTGAGGCAGAAGGATTGCCGGAGCCCAGCAGGTCGAGGTTGCAGTGAGCTGTGATCATGCTACAGCACTCCAGCCTGGATAACAGAGTGAGACCCCAACTCAATAAAGTTAATACAGAGGAAAGGGAGGAAGGGGGCAGGGGCATGACTCCCATGCTGGAGACCCAATGGAGAGGCAGTGTAGAGACCCAGAGCCCCTCTGAGGCTGCAAGTAAGAAGGCTTGAAGACTTCCAGGACTGGCCAGACCTCCAGCTGGTCAGTGGCCAGTTGGGTGGAGGCCGTGGGCTTCCTCTGCGTAACCACCTCCCGCCTCTCAGAAGGGAGCCAGAACCCCCCCAAATGCAGGACCTTTCCCACTCACAAGCATGGCTTCGGCCCCGTACCCTCTCAGACCCGTACCCTCTCAGACCAGATTTACCCAAATGGGCATGGGGTTCCCCTGGGTCTTTTTCAGGTGCTAGGGTTCGCTGCTTTCTTTGCGCTGGTCTTGAAGAAAGTGGACGATGAGGACACTGCAGCCCCCCTGCCAGGACAGCTGTCAGGCCCAGGTGAGGTGCCTCGGGGTGGAGGCAGAGGCCTGGCCAAGTGTGGCCCCATGAGGCCCTGCAGAGTCAGTCTCTGGGAGTCCTGGGCCTCGGGCGGCTCCCCAGACCTTTGCTCCCCACCAACCTTGTACCTGGATTTGTGAACCACCCCCCAAGCCAGCCTGAAAAAAAGTGACCCCTTTATTGTCTCCTGAGCAGCTCTCCCAGACTTGCCCCCGACACCCAAGCCTGCCTCTCTAGCCAGAAGGGGTGCCTTTGGGCAGAGCTGTCTGCATGGGCCATCCTTCTCTGTGTGACTCCAAGCAGGCAGCTTTCTCCTCCTAGACTCAAGGTCCAGGGATTTAAATGAAAACCAGGGCCAGGCACAGAGCTCACGTCTGTAATCCCAGCACTTTGGGAGGCCAAACAACGAGAATTGCTTGAGTTCAGGAGTTCCAGACCCGCCTGGGCAACATGGCGAGACCTCATCTCCACAAAAAAAAAAAAATTAAAAAATAAGCCACGTATGGTGGCAAACACCTGTCATCCCAGCTACTCAGGAGGCTAAGGCAGAAGGATCACCTGAGCCCAGGAGATCAAGGCTGCCATGAGTCATGATTGCCACTGCACTCCAGCCTGGGCGACAATGAGGTCTCAACTCAAAAAAAGAATGAAAACCAACAAAACAGCAGGAAGATGAATTGTCGGACTGCAGAAAGTGGCTATAAATTAGACTTCTAAGACAGCGATCTGCACACGATGGCCAGTGGGCCAAGTCTCACTTGGTATTTGTTTTTACAAATAAAGATTTATTAGAAGGCACCCAGGCTGACCCCTATTCTCAGAGGTCACAGTCAGTCTCCTTCCTCCCAGTCTTCCTTCTTACTTTCCAACCAAAACTCTTGATGAGCTGACAGTAGGAAAATTACAACAGGCCCACTAGTTCACGCCTGTAATCCTAGCAGTTTGGGAGGCAGAGTCAAGAGAATTGCCTGAGCCCAGAGGTTTGAGACCAGCCTGGGCAACTTGTCGAGACCTCCTCTCTACAATAAATCAAGAAAAATTAGCTGGACGTGGTAGCGCATGCCTGTAGTTCCAGCTACTTGGAAGACTGAGGTGGAAGAATCGCCAGAGTCCAGCAGACAGAGGCTGCGGTGGCCATGAACATGCCACTGCACTCCAGCCTGGGTGCCAGAGTGATACGCCAACTCAAAAAAAAAAATTAGAAATAAAAAAATAAGGCCAGGCATGGTGGCTCAAGCCTGTAATCCCAACACTTTGGGAGGCGGAGGCAAGAAGACTACCTGAGCTCAGGGGTTCGAGACCTCTTCTCTAGCAAAAAATCAAAAAATAAGCCAGGCGTGGTAGTGCACGCTTGTAGTTCCAGCTACTTGGAAGGCTGAGGTGGAAGGATCGCCTGAGCCCAGTAGGTTGAGACTATGGTGGCATGAGTGTACCTCTGCACTCCAGCCTGGGTGACAGAGTGAGATTCCAACTCAAAAAAAATAAAATAAGTAAAAATTTTCCCAAGACAAAGAGAAATTCTTCTCCAAAAAAATACTAGCCTCCAGACCAGTTAAATATTCATTCAGTCATTCTTTGGCAATTCCTTGGGGAGCACTGGCTGTGTGGCAGCTCAGGAACGCTATTTGCATAAAATTCACCCATGTAAGTGCACGATTTGCTGATTTCAGCAAGTGTGTAGGGTTATGTAACCATCACCGCGATCCAGAGTTAGAGCAGCTTCGTCAACCTGAAAGGTTCCCTTGTGCTCTCACGCCCGTTGGAAGTCAATCCCTGCTCCCAGCCCCAGCCCCAGGGAACATCACTGACTGGCTGGGACAGGTCTCTGCCCTTGAACAACTGATCTGGGGAGATGGCGAGAAGCAATTTCAATGCACAAGTAGTCAAATAAATGTAAAATATTCCAAGAACTAGGGTTGGGGAAGAACAAAAGAGTCAGGCCTCTGTGGGGATGGTCCCTAGGCTGTCTCATGAAGGATGGGGAAAGGGAAGGATCGCACACTGGGCATGTGAAAAGGCCCAGAGGCAGAATAGAACTTGTCATCTTTATAGCTGGAGCATGGTAACTGGGAATGGTGAGAATGGTTCAAGATGGAGGAGAGAGGTGGGTGAGAAGCAGATCGTGTGGAGCCTTGCAGGAGCTGAACAATGCTGGGATGTTGGAGGGCTTTAAATAGGGGAGCAGGGCTGGGCGTGGTGGCTTATGCCTGTCATCCTAGCACTTTGGGAGGCCGAGACAGGAGGATCGCTTGAGCCCAGGAGTTCAAGACTAGCCTGGGCAACACAAGTCTCCATCTTGATAAAGAAACTAATAAATAGGAGAGCGGCATGCTATGTTTTGTGATTTTTCGAAAGATTACTAGCAGGGTGTGATGGCGCATCTGTAGTCCCAGCTACTTGGGAGGCAGAGGCAGGAGGATCCCATGAGCCCAGGAGCTGGAGGCTGCAGTGAGCTAGGGCCATGCCACTGCACTTCAGCCTGGGCGACAGAGGGAGACCCTGTTCGGGAAGAAAGAAAAGGAATGAAGGGAGGAAGGAAAGAAGGAAGGAGATAGTGGTTGCTCTTGGAGACAAAAGAATCTGAGTCGAAAGTAGAAATGGAAATGGCTGGATGTGGTGGCTAACAGCTGTCATCCCAATACTCAGGGAGACCGAAGTAGGAGGACTGCTTGAGCACAGGAGTTCAGGACCAGCTTGAAGCCAGGCATGGGGGCTCATGCCTGTCATCCCAGCACTTTGGGAGGCTGAGGTGAGAGGATTGCCTGAGTCCAGGGGTTCTAGACCCGCCTGGGCAACTTGGCGAGACCTCGTCTCTACAATAAACAAAAAAAATTAGTCAGGTGTGGTGACGCATGCCTGTAATTCCCGCTACTTGGAAGACTGAGGCGGAAGAATCGCCGGAGCCCAGCAGGTTGAGGCTGCAGTGGCCATGAGTGTGCCACTGCATTCCAGCTTGGGCGACAGAATGAGACTCCGACTCAAAAAAAAAAAAAAAAGACCAGTCTAGGCAACATGAGAGCCCATCTCTACAAACAATTTTTAAAAAATTAGACAGGCATGGTGGCACCCACCTGTAGTCCCAGCTACTCGGGAGGCTGAAGTGGGAAGATTGCTTGAGCCCAGGAACTGGAGGCTGCAAAGTGTCATGATGGTTGCCCTGGGCAACAGAGGGAGACCTTGTCTAAAAATTGCCCACCCTGAGCAACAGAGTGAGATCCTGTCTCTAAAAATAAATAAGTAACTTGGGGATCTTTTTTTGAGTCAGAGTCTCACTCTGTCACCCAGGTTGTAGTACAGCGGCATGCTCACAGCCACTGCGGCCTCGGCCTGCTGGGCTCAGGCGATCCTTCCGCCTCAGCCTTCCAAGTAGCTGGAACCAGAGGCACGCGCCACCACACTCAGCTAATTTATTTATTTATTTATTGTAGAGAAGCGGTCTCACCAAGTTGCCCAGGCTGGTCTTGAACCCCTGAGCTCAGGCAATTCTCTCACCTCTGCCTCCCAAAGTGCTGGGATTACAGGTGTGAGCCACCATGCCTGGGGATGGGGAAAATTTTTTTTTTAATAAAAAAGAGGATGCTTGGAGCTAGATGGGACAGGAGTTTGAGACACTGGTCACTTTCGTCCTTGAATTCATCCAAGTTTCAGTAGTGTCAGGGCAGGCAGTCTAGGGAGAAGTAAGCTGTCTGCGGGGGAGGGAGGGAGGGCAACGTTTGTGCTTTGAGTCTGGGAGTATCCTCTAGGTGAGGAAGGCACACAGGGCCCTGGGCCCTGGAATGGTGTGGGCAGAGGTGAGGCAGGGAAGATAGACTTGGGAAATGGTCCCCAAGGAAGAGGAGCACAGAGCCTGTCACACCAGCTGAGAGAGGAGACTTCTAGCTGCAAATATCCGACCACTTGGGGGCTACCCTGATGTCCTTGTGTCCACAGACCCCGATGCCTTGTTCCGGGCACGAAGGAACAGCAGCAGGGATGTCTACCAGCCGCCTCTCGCCTCTGCCATCCAGAAGATGAAGGCCACCCGCCTCAAGGAACAGAAAGCCTTTGCCCTCATCAGAGAAATCCTGGGTAGGTGGCCTCCCAGCTTGTGGGCTTGTGACACCCGCCTTGGACAGACACACACACTGCACTGTCCTGGATAAGTCCCACACTGCTTCTGGGCCTCAGTTTTCCTAGGTGTTGGCACCCCCCCAGCTTCTCCCCAACACTTAAAATTCTTTGGATGGCTAGGCGTGGTGGCTCAGTCTATAATCCCAGCACTTTGGACGACTGAGGTGAGAGGATTGTCTGAGCCCACGGGTTCAAGACCAGCCTGGGCAACTTGGTGAGACCTCATCTTTACAATAAATCTAAAAAATTTACCGAGCATGGTAGTGCATGCCTGTAGTTCCAGCTACTTGGAAGGCTGAATTGGAAGGATCGCCTGAGCCCAGCAGGTTGAGGCTGCAGTAACCGTGAGTGTGCCTGGCACTCCAGCCAGAGCAACAGAGTGAGACTCTGACTCAAAAAAAAAAAAGAAAAAATATCCTTCAGTGGCTCCTAATGGCCCTCAGAACAAAATCCAAACCCCTTCGGGGGGTTCCACCCGGCTCAAGTGCCCGCCTTCGGCTCCTGTGCCCAAGCTGTGGTCACACTGGCATCTAAACGCGGTGCCCTTTCCTGACCCTGGGCCCCTTTCTGGAGCTGTTCCACCGCATCTGCCCTGAGTGTGCTTGGCTCTCCCCCTCCCCACCTTTTCTTCTGGTTAATCCCTTTTATTTGGGGGGACGGCGTCTCACTCAGACACCCAGGCTGGAGTACAGTGGTATGATCATGGTCTCGACCTCTTGGGCTCAGGCAATCCTTCCGCCTCAGCCTCCCCAGTAGCTGGTACTACACACCAACACACCCAGCTAAACTTAAAAAAAAATTTTTTTTTTTGAGTCAATGTCTTACTCTGTCGCCCAGGCTGGAGAGCAGTGGCACGCTTATGGTCACCCCAGTGTTGACCTGCTGGGCTCAGGAGAACTACAGGCGCACACTACTACGCCCGGCTATTTTTTTTTTTTTTTTTGATATATTTTTTAGTTTTTGATATATTGCAGAGACGAGGTCCCACCAAGTTGCCCAGGTTGGTCTCAAACCCCTGGGCTCAGACAATCCTCTCGCCTTGGCTTCCCAAAGTGCTGGGATTACAGTCTTGAGCCACTGGGTCCGGCAATTTTTTAATTTTTTTTTTTAGTTGGAGCCTCACTCTGTCAGTCAGGCTGGAGTGCAGTGGCACACTCACGGCTGCCCCAGCCTTGACCTGCTGGGCTCAGTTAATCCTTCCACCTCAGTCTTGCAAGTAGCTGGAACTACAGGTGTGCGCCATTGCCAGCTAATTTTTTGATTTAACGTGGAGACGAGATCTTTCCATGTTGCCCAGGCTGGTCTCGAACCCCTGGGCTCAGGCAATCCTCTAACCTCTGCCTCCCAAAAGTGCTGGGATTATAGGCATGAGCCAGTGCACTCAGCTAATTTTTTAATTTTAATTTTTTTAATTTTTATTGTAATCTCACTCTGTCGCCCAGGCTGGAGTGCAGTAGCACACTCATGGCCACCACAGCCTCGACCTGCATTTATATATATATAAAATTAGCCTGGGCAACAGAGTGAAACTCCAACTTAAAAAAAGAAAAAAGAAACACTTTCATAGCACAAACCCTGTGCCAGCACCATTATAAATGCTTTTTTTTTTTGAGTTGGAGTCTCACTCTGTTGCCCAGGCTGGAGTGCAGTGGCACGGTCCCGGCCACCACAGCCTCGACTTGCTGGGCTCTGGTGATCCTTCCGCCTCAGCCTTCCAAGTAGCTGGAACTACAGGCTCGCACTACCATGCCTGGCTAATTTTTGATTTATTGTAGAGACACGATCTTGCCAAGTTGCCCGGGCGGGTCTTGAACCCACAGGCTCAGGCTGTCCACTTGCCTCGGTCTCCCAAAGTGCTGGGATTACAGACTGGGCCACCAAGCCGGACCATAAATGCTTTTAATATCAACTCATCCCCTTGCCAGGTGCAGTGGCTCACTCCTGTAATTCCAGCACTTTGGGAGGTGGAGGCAAGAGGATTGCCTGAGTCCCGGGGTTCAAGACCCACCTGGGCAACTTGGTGAGACCTCGTATCTACAATAAATAAATAAATAAAAATTGCTGGGTGTGGTGGCGAGTGCCTGTGGTTCCTTGGAAGGCTGAGGCAGAAGGATTACCTGAGCCCAGTAGGTCAAGGCTGCAGTGGCTGTGAGCGTGCCACCGCACTCCAGCCTGGACGAGAGTGAGACTCCTACTCAAAAAAACCACAACCAAAAAAACGTATCCTGTTGTCACAACCCTGGTCATAGAATTATTATCTCCACTTCACAGATGAGAAGCGTGAGTCGCAGAGGAATAGAGTCACTTGGGAAAGGCACTTAGATAGGAAGCGGCAGAGCTGGGATTTGAACCCAGGCAGGAGTCCCCATGGGCTACAACTTTGCTCCTCTCTGCTGCCTCTCTAAGAATTGGTTCCACTGTCACCAGAGGAGCAAGGGGCTTGTCTGTGAGGACTTGGTGGGAGTCGGGGGTCTTGCCTGACCACGGGCTGTCCTCTCCCCAGTGTACCTGGGCTCCCTGTGGATGCTGCTGCTGGCGGCCTACGGGCAGAGGGACCCCAGCGCCTACCACCTCAACAGACACCTGGAGCACAGCTTCACCAGAGGGCTTCCAGCCGTGCTGGGCTTCCGAGAGTTCTTTGAGTGGGCCAACACAACTCTTGTCAACAACCTGTACGGTCATCCCCCAGGTGAGTGCCCCAGCCCCGGCTGGGTGTCAGCCTCCTCATACTGCTCCTGCCTAGAGACACATGGGGAATTGTCAGCATCAGCCTCATAAAACCGATAACCCACTGACAGGGGTTATGCCAACACTTTGGGAGGCCGAGGCAGGATGATCACTGAGGTTAGGAGTTTAAGACCGGCCTGGACAACATAGTGAGACCCTATCTTTATTTTTAAAAAAATTTTTTAAATTAGCTGGGCATGGTAGCGTGCACCTGTAGTTCTAGCTACTCAGGATTGCCTGGGCCCAGGAGGTGGAGACGGCAGTGAGTTATGACCATGCCACTGCACTCCAATGACTGTAGTTCCAGCAACTTGGAAGGCTAAGACAGGATTGCCTGAGCCCAGCAGGTTGAGGCTGCCGTGGCTATGAGCATGCCACTGCACTCCACCTGGGTGACAGAGTGAGACTCCAACTCAAAAAAAGAAAAGAAGCTGGGCTCGGTGGCTCAGCCTGTAATCCCGCGCCTTTGGGAGGCTGAGGTGAGTGGATTGCCTGAGCCCGCGGGTTCGAGACCCGCCTGGGCAGCAAGACCTCATCTCTACAATAAATTCAAAAATCAGCCGGGCATGGTAGCGCGTGCCTGTAATTCCGGCTACTCGGAAGGCTGAAGGGGAAGGATCACTGGAGCCCAGCAGGTCGAGGCTGCGGTGGCCGGGAGCAGCCACTGCACTCCAGTCTGGGCGACCGAGTGAGACTTCAACTCAAAAAAAGAAAAGAAATCCAATAACCAAAGCACTAGATAGTTTGAAGAAGAGACCCTCAGAAGGCTGTGCATACACATGGGTGCCTGGCCCTCCCCTGATGCAGATGGAGAGTGTGCTAAATGAGAGAGAACTGAGCATGGATCAGCAAGACCAAAACACTGTTCCAGGCAGCAGGAAGAACATGAGAAAAGCCCAGTGTGACACACCATAGCACATTCTTGGAATCTCAAAGCATGGAGTGTGGCCAATGTGCAGGATCCGAGTTAAGGACCAGTGAGAGGCCAAGCAGGAAGAAGAAACAGGCCAGCACGTGGAAGGTCTCTCCTCAAGAAAAGGAGGGGCCACTGAGGGTCTCTACACAAAGGAATAGCATAAACCTGGGGTGAGAAGACTCACTCTGCAGCTGGGTAACATAGTGAGATCTCATCTCTTCCAAAAAAAAAAAAAAGACCGAGCATGGTGGCTCACGCCTGTAATCTCAACACTTTTGGAGGCCGAAATGAGAGGATTGCCTGAGTCCATGGGTTCAAGACCAACCTGAGCAACTCGATGAGACCTCATCTCTACAATAAGTCCCCCAAAAAAAAAATTAGCCAGACATGGTGGCACGTGTCTGTAATCCAGCTACTTGGAAGGCTGAGGCAGAAGGATCACCTGAGCCCAGCAGATCAACGCTGCGATGGCCATGAGCATGCCACTGCACTCCAGCCTGGGTGACAGAATGAGACTCCGACTCAAAAAAACAAACAAAAAAAGACTTCTCCAGGCATGGTGGCACATGCCTGTAATCCCAGCACTTTGGAAGGCTGAAGGAGGATTACTTAAGCCTAGGAGTTCGAGATCAGCCTAGGCAACATAGTGAGACCTCATCTCTACAAAAACTAAAAAATTAGCCAGACGTGGTGGTGTGCACCTGTAGTCCCAGTTACTCAGGAGGCTGAGTCAGAAGGATCGCCTGAGCCCAGGAGGTTGAGACTGTGGTGAACTGTACTCATGCCGTTGCACTCCAGTCTGGATGACAGAGTGAGACCCTGACTCAAAGAAGAAAAAAAAAAGAAAGGAAGGAGAAAAAGAAGACTCACTCTGGAAGCTGGAGGAGAGGATGGGCAAGTTAGGATATTGAGAAGACAGGCTGGGGCTGGTGGAGGGACAAGGGACCATGGTGATGGAGAGGAGACGGGTACATAAAACATGGAAGAGGTGGAATGGATGGACGCAGGGTGGGAGGATTGAGGGAAAAGCAGGTGGGTGACTGGGTGGCGGGGTGCCACTTCTCAAGGGAAGTTATGTTGGGGGTGTGGCAAGTCCCAGGTGGAGAGGCAGCAGGGTCACGTGGATGAATGCAGGCTGTGATTGGCCACAGTCTTCTCTTGGCTGTGTCTATACTGGAGTTCACTTCAGCATGTGTGCCAGGGAGCCCGGAATGTGTTAAGAAAACTTCGAGTTGGCGCTGTGGCTCACACCTGTCATCCCAGCCCTTTGAGGGGGCAGAGCTGAGAGGATTGCCTGAGTCCGTGGGTTTGAAACCAGTCTGGGCAACTTGGCGAGACCTCATCTCTACAGTAAATCAAAAAATAAGCCGGGTGGGGTGGTGCATGCCCGCGATTCCAGCTACTTGGAAGGCTGAGGTAGAAAGATTGCCTGAGCCCAGCAGGTCAAGGCTGCGATGGCTATGAGTGTGCCACTGTGCTCCAGCCTGGATGAGTGTGAGAGATTCTAACTTAAAAAAAAAAAGAGCAAGACTCGGTGGCTCAGCCTGTAATCCCACGCCTTTGGGAGGCTGAGGTGAGTGAATTGTCTGAGTGTCTGGGCAGCGAGACCTCATCTCTACAATAAAATCACAAAATCAGCCGGGCGTGGTAGCGCATGCCTGTAATGCGGTTACTTGGAAGGCTGAGGCGGAAGGATCACCGGAATCCAGCAGGTTGAGGCTGTACTCCAGTCTGGGTGACAGAGTGAGACTCCAACTAAAAAAAAAAAAAAAAAAAAAAGGATGACTTTGATGCTAGCCTTACCCACCTGTTCTTTGTCTTTAGGCTTTATCACCGATGGGAACTCAAAGCTGGTTGGCAGTGCACAGATTCGCCAAGTGAGGGTCCGGGAAAACTCTTGCCCTCTGGCCCACCAGCTGCAGGCCTCCTTTGACGGATGCCGTGCACCCTATTCCCTGGATGTTGAAGACTTGGGAGACTATGGGGAAGGTTGGAATGCCTCCGCCCTCAATCACAGCAATGGCTTTCCCCGGGCTTGGCAGTACCAGAGCCAGAGCCAGCGTCGAGGGTATCCCATCTGGGGCAAACTCGCTGTGTACCGGGGAGGAGGCTACGTGGTCCCCTTGGGGACTGATCGTCAAAGTGCGTCAAGGTAAGGCTAACTTGATTCATCTGCAGCTGAGTAATGTCTTTTGCTGGAGTCCATGTCTGATCGGAGAATGCAGCCTTCTGAACAGGGCTGAGCCAAGTTCATCCATGACATCGTGGGAAGGGCTGGGGGATTCAGAATCATTCAGGTCATATTTTCAGGCTCCTAGAAACTTTGTCATTTCAGAGATGGAAAGGAAGTTCCTCCCCTGAATTCTCAGCCTGGTTGCCTCTGCTAGAGCCAGTCCAGAGACGGGGAGCTCACTACCACACACAAAAAGTCCACCATTAGGAAAGAGGAAAATGGCTAAGGTTCTATCAAGAATTGTAAGATTTTACCCTACCTGTAAGCCCACAGACTGACCTGTTACTGTTTCTGTTTTCTTTTTTTTTTTTTTGAGTTGGAGTCTTACCGTGCCACGCAGGCTGGAGTGCAGTGGCACGCTAATGGGCACTGCAGCCTTGACCTGCTGGGCTCAGGCGATCCTTCTGCCTCAGTCTTCCAAGTAGCTGGAACTACAGGCACACGTCATCACGCTGGGCTAATTTTTTTAACTTATTGTAGAGATGAGGTCTCGCCAAGTTGCCCAGGCTGATCTCGAACCAATAGGCTCAGGCAATCCTCTCATCTCTGCCTCCCAAAATGCTTGGATTATAGGTATGAGCCACTGCTCCCAGTCTTTTACTGTCTCATGGATGCTGGGAGAAGACACAAGATTCCTGGGTCAGAGACAAAAGATTGCATTCCTCATAGCAAAAGCTGTATGAGAACATCACATCAGTTTGGGTCCATTTCTGTCAAAGAGCCATGATAGACGCCTGCATGTGTCTACAGCACCAAGCTTGGAGCATTTGCTGCTCTTATAGCAGCATAAACAAACCTGATCTTTGTCAGAAGGAAGCTGTCAACCTCATTCCTGGAGGCTGCTCACTGCAAACCCAGCCCTGAGAACGGCCTGGGTGAATCACAGCTCCAGGACCTTGGATTCCTGGGATACCTAGTACAAAGGTGCAGGGGGCTGGAGCGCAGGACCCATGCACATAGACTCAACCCATTCTGGAGCTCAGAGCCCATGCAGACGGACTCTCTCAACCCACCCCGGAGACCCAGATCCCTAGATCTGCAACCCTGGCACTGCTCTTTCTAGCTGAGTAGCCCAGGCAAATTAGTGAACCTCAGTTTTCTCCATGGTATGATTATAGCACCCAGGTTGTTTGTGGTGGTTGTGATTCTCTGCCTAGAAACACAAGTAACAGGGGCCTCCTGAGGTTAGGGACAGCCCAGGAATAGTCTATTCAGAACAAGAGGCATTTTTTTTCCTGCTACTTAGAATGGCTGAAGATATTTTCTCTCTGTCTCTCTGCTTTTTTTTTTTGAATCAGAGTTTCACTCTGTCGCCCAGACTGGAGTGCAGTGGCATGCTCACAGCCACTGCAACCTCGACCTGCTGGGCTCAGGCGATCCTTCTGTCTCAGCCTTCCAAGTAGCTGGAACTACAGGCATGCATTACCACACCCAGCTAATTTTTTTTCATTTATTGTAGAGATGAGGTCTCACCAAATTGCCTAGGCTGGTCTCGAACCTGTGGGCTAAGTCAATTCTCTCACCTCGGCCTCCCAAAGTCCTGGGATTATAGGTGTGAGCCACCACACCTGGCCAAAACAGCATATTTAAAAATAAGCCCATCACGGCTGCACGTGGTGGCTCATGCCTGTAATCCCAGCACTTTGGGAGCAGAAAGGTGGCAGTGGGATTTGTTTGAGGCCAGGAGTTTGAGACCAGTCAGGGCAACTTAGGGAGAACTTGTCTCTACCAAGGTCTCTATCACAATGATTTGGAAGTGCTGGGGTTAACACCAACATAGATGAAGAAATCGAGGCCTGGAGCAGTTACTAGCTTGTGCAAGAGGCAGCCAGGATTTGAATCCAGGTCTCTCCACCACACCAGGCTGATAGAACCCCAGGAAATGGTCTCATGGGAGCTGCCTGCCCAAGAGGCCCTAAGCCTCTGCTATTCTATGATGTTTCTCTAACACCGAGGCTCTCAAACTTTAAAAAGCATCCGAATCCCCAGAGCGCTCATCAAAGCACATGTCCTGGGCTCCTTCCATAGTTTCTAACTCAGCCATTCAGGGTTGGGGCCTGAGAATCTGTATTTCCAACAAGTTCCCAGTCACTGCTCCTGGTGTGATCACACTTCGAGAACCTCTGCTCCAATGGCTGGGAGATCAGGGGTGCCTAGGAAGGAAAGCAGAGATGAGGAAGCTTAGACAGGAATCCCTGGTCACGTCGAGGGGCTGAGGGGACAGGGAGGTTCTATAGGCCGGAGATGTCCAAACGCCCCTCTTTCCCACAGAATTTTCCAGTATCTCTTTGACAACACCTGGCTGGATGCCCTGACCAGAGCCGTGTTTGTGGAGTTCACAGTCTACAATGCCAATGTCAACCTGTTCTGCATCGTCACGCTGACACTGGAGACCAGTGCCCTGGGTGGGCAGCCTTGCCTGGGACCCCTGAGGTGTTCTGGAAGTCCTTGGATGAGGGCTCTGGCCCAGCTGTGGCCGGCTACCCCAGAGCCAGAGCTCCAGAGCAAAGAGTTGTTTGGGAAATTGGGGGGTGGGTCTTGGTTCTCCTCACAGCTTTGGGTGTGCCTGGGTCCCCAAAGGCATTAGGGTCGCTCCAGGCTTCCTCCTTTGTCTTTCCAGCCTTGTCTCCCAAGGTTTCCTAATGAAGTCCAGTTAGGGTCCGGGCGCAGTGGCTCATGCCTATAATCCCAACACTTTGGTAGGCCAAGGTGAGAGGATTGCCTGAGCCCACGGGTTCAAGACCGGCCTGGGCAACTTGGCGAGACCTCGTCTCTACAATAAATCAAAAAATTAGCCGGGCTTGGTGCCGTGTGCCTGTAGTTCCAATTACTTGGAAGGCTGAGGCAGAAGGATCGCCTGAGCACAGCAGGTTGAGGCTGCGGTGGCCAGGAGTGTGCCACTGCCCTCCGGCCTGGGTGACCATGTGAGATTCCTACTCAAAAAAAAAAATCCAGTTAGGGACCAAAGGCAGCTTATCCACCGCCTATTCCTGAGCTTCCCACTCTGCTGGTGTTGGAGTGGGGACCGGACAGTGAGCAGTTGGGGAGGAGACAGGTGACAGATGACATCACCTAAAACAGTATTTACAAGTCATTCACCAATCCACGGTGAGAAGTACGTTTTATATCATAATCCAACACACATACACACCCACAACCCAGAAAAAAGTTCACAAATAACATTTACCTAACCACATGGGATGGGTGCTCATATTTTGTGTTCTATGATTTTTTTCTCCCCAGGCCCCTTACCCCTTTTAAAATGCTAACCACAATCCACTAAAAAGACCCCATCAACTTAAAGCCTGTTCAGTTAATGGTCAATTTGCCTGAAACCCAACATCCTCTCCATTAAATACCAAACTTTAAAAAACTGTCACACTATATATATATTTTTTGAAATTGGAGTCTCACTCTGTCGCCCAGGCTGGAGTGCAGTGGTACGCTCATGGCCACCACAGCCGCGACCTGCTGGGCTCAGGTGATCTTTCCGCCTCAACTTTCCAAGTAGCTGGAACTACAGGTGCATGCCACCATGCCCAGCTAATTTTTTGAGTTATTGTAGAGACAAGATTTTGCCAAATTTCCCAGGATGGTCTCAAACCCCTGGGCTCAATCCTCTTGCCTCTGCCTCCCAAAGTGTTGAGATTACTGGCGTGAGTCACTGCGCCTAGCAAATTACATTTTAAATTATAATACATGCCCCTGCTTTAAACAAATTTCAGAACTGTGTAAAGTGAAAGGCTTTTTTTCCCTTTGACTTGGAGTCTCACTCTGTCACCCAGGCAGGAGTGCACTGGCATGCTCCCAGCCACCGCAGCCTCGATGGGCTGGATGCCAGCAATCCTTCCACCTTAGCCTTCCAAGTAGCCGGAACTACAGGCACGCGCTACCACACCCAGCTGGTTTTTTGATTTATTGTAGAGACAAGGTCTCACCACGTTTCCCAGGCTGGTCTTGAGCCCACAGGCTCAGGCAATCCTCTTACCTTGGCCTCCCAAAGTGCTGGGATTATAGGCTTGAGCCACCATGCCCAGCCTGTGAAAGGCTTTCAGTTCCCATGGTCATTCACCACAGGGAATAGCTTTTTTCACATCCTTTTTGGGAAAGCATTTGTATATCTTTTGTTCTCCTGTTTCTAGTGGCCACCTTTTTGGCTTTTTCAATAACTTGTCCAAACCCACCCACTCCTTCCTGACTGGAGGGAGGGGGGGTTAGGGGGGGAGAGAGGGAGAGACAGTGAGAGAGAGAAGAAAGAAAATGACAAACTTTTCAAAGAAGGTTGACTGTCTAGGCAAATTGGCCATTAGGTGAACAACTCTTCAGTGAAGTGTCTTCAGATGAAAAGGTTTTCCACGAGCCAACCCGGAGTCAATTGTCATTGAGTAGGGGGCTTTGCTGTGGCTGCAGGTGGCTGCGCCCAGTGACCCCGCACCACATGCAGAGGGCAGGGGAGGCTCTTCCGTTGCAGCCCCTCGGTCCCTCTGCTGCGTCCAGTCTCTGGCCTCCACCACGTGTCCACGTTCAGTCCTCTGGGTCTTTGGGTCTGAGGGACCTTGTCCTCTCCTCGGCCCCGGCCAGAAGCCACAGCTCGGGCGGGCAGGCAGCCGGGGGTGAGCCGACGCCCTCTGCTTCCAGGCACCTTCTTCACGCACGCGGCCCTGCAGAGCCTCCGCCTGTACCCCTTCACCGACGGCTGGCACCCCTTCGTGGTGGCGGGGGAGCTCGTGTACTTCCTCTTGCTCCTCTACTACATGGTGGAACAGGTCAGGGGCGCTCTCGCGCGTGGCTCTGCGGCCGGGCGGGTGCAGGGGTGCAGGCGCCTCTCCGTTTCCTTGGGGGCGGGGCCTGAGATGGTGGCGGCGCTTTGCCTTAGGCCTTTGCAGTGACAACCTTGGGTCGTTCTAGGACGGGTCTAGACCACTGTTTGCACCTCAGCCCTGGGAAGGAGCCAAGGTTGGACTCATGAGAAACTCAGATTTCAGAGGGTGCTCCTTCATGGCTGGTCTTGCTTCTGCTAACTGAGAGTTAGCCAAAAAACCCCGGGGTGAGGGGGATGGCAGAGGGTAGGGGTGACGGCCCCCAAACTTAGATTTGTCGGGCTTCTCAGCATCTTCTGCTCTCACCCGTGGGCCCTGGGGATGAGGCAGAATCTCCCTTGTTGCCTTTATTTATTTAATTATTTTGAGTCGGAGTCTCACTCTGTCACCCAGGCTGGAGTGCAGTGGCACGCTCATGGCCACCACAGCCTCGACCTGAGGGGCTTAGGCTATCCTTCCACCCCGGCCTTCCAAATAGCTGGAACTGCAGGCGTGCACCACCACACCCGACTGATTTTTTGATTTATTGTAGAGATGAGGTCCCGCCATGTTGCTCAGATTGGTCTCGAACCCATGGGCTCAGGCAATCCTCTTGCCTCTGCCTCCCAAAGTGCTGGGATGACAGGTGTGAGCCACCTCACTGGGCTTAACTTTTATTATTAAATGAGCATTAGGCCAGAATGTAATGTGCTTTACAGACCATCTGCTAAGGAGACTGCAGAGAAGGAAAGAAATCTCAGCCTGTAACACAGCCAGGCAGATTCTGCCCACTGTGTATGCTCCTGAGAGGAAGGACCAGGAATCCCTTAGTGGGAAGACTCAACCACACCATCTGGCACCTGAGTCCCTCCTAAAGTCACCTGTGTTTGCTCGTGGCCTTTTCATTAGGAAAAATAAACTTCAAATTTAGGATGAGAACTAGTTTTGTAACTTAAGGCCAGGTGTCTATCCAAGCTACGCCCTTACTCTCACAGAAAACAGGAAGACAAGACACTCACTCCCTTCCTTGATAACTATATTTCAAAGAGATTGGGCCCAGGTCCTTGAGAGAGACATTCCTGAGTTGTAAAACTGGCAAGCGCCTTGTTGGGCTCTTTAGAAAATTTACTTTTATCTCAAAGGGATGGAGAAAGAAGTCATAATGACAGGTTTTCCAAAGTAAATGCTCTATGAAAAACGGGGAGGGGAGTGCAAGTCTTTCTCCTCCTCTTCCTCCTCCCCTTTTTTGGCACGAGAGAGAATGAACAGTTTTTTCTTATCAAATATGGTATGCAAGCCAGACACAGTGGCTCAGGCCTGTAAGCCCAGTGCTTTGGAAGGCCCGTGTGGGAGGATCACTTGAGACCAGCCTAGGCAACAGAGCGAGACCCTGTCTCTAAAATAAATTTTAAAATGAGCTGGGCGCAATGTTGCATACCTTACTTGTGTTTACTGATTTATTATAAAGGATATAAAAAAGGATACAGGTGAAGCCCAGGAGTTTGAGGCTGCAGTGAGCTGAAATGGCACCCCTGCACTGCAGCCTGGGTGACAGACCTCGGCTCTGTCTCTAAAAAAAAAAAAAAGAAAAGATATTGTATGCAGCTGCAGTTACTAACGGGAGCACATAGGTCTAGGTACAGGACTGTGGACAGGCCCCTGGCATGCCCTGAGGTATCTGGGGCCAGGGCTTGGGGAGCCCACAAGGATCTGTCACCCCCTGCCAGAGGGCCCTCCTAGTTGGGGAGAGAGCAGCTGAGGAGGGAGGGGACAGCTGTCGCCATAACCTTGGGATCCTTCCCCAGGGCAAGCTCATGAGGAAGCAGAAGTGGGGCTATTTCCGCAGCAAGTGGAACCTTCTGGAGCTGGCCATCATTCTGGCGAGCTGGAGTGCCCTGGCGGTGTTTGTGAAGAGGGCCGTCCTGGCCACACGTGACATCCAGCGTTGCCGGAACCACAGGGAGGAGTAAGTGGCTGTCTCCTCAGCTCCCCAGTTCCCCCACTGTCCTGCTTTCCTCCAGCCCCATCTGACACCTGAGGTCAGAGGGAGGATCTTCCAGGGTGAGCAGTGAGGCCGGGTGGGGTGTGGCGCAAAACTCATAGATTCCTTGGCTCATTGCTACAATGAATTTCAGAGCGGCCAGTAAAGTTGTTTTTTTGGTTTTTTTTTGAGTCGGAGTCTCACTCTGTCGCCCAGACTGGAGTGCAGTGGCCGCTCCCAGCCACCGCAGCCTTGACCTGCTGGGCTCCGCGATCCTTCTGCCTCAGCCTTCCAAGTAGCTGGAACTACAGGCGTGTGCTACCACGCCCGGCTAATTTTTGATTTATTGTAGAGATGAGGTCTTGCCAAGTTGCCCAGGCAGGTCTCAAACCCGTGGACTCAGGCCATCCACTCACCTCGGCCTCCCAAAGGCGCGAGATTACAGGCTGAGCTACTAAGCCCGGCTGGTCAGCAAAGTTTTAAAATAGAGTTTGCCGGGCACTGTAGCTCACGTCTGTAAACACAGCACTCTGGGGAGGCAGAGGTAAGAGGATTGGCTGAACCCAGGGGTTCAGCCTGGGCAACATGGGGAGACCCCCTCTACAATAAATCAAAAAATTAGCCAGGCACAGTAGTGCGCTCCTGTAGTTCTGGCTACCTGCCAGGCTGAGGTGGAAGGATCGCCTGGGCCCAGCAGTTCAACACTGGGGTGGCCATGAGTATGCTGCTGCACTCCAGCCTGGGCGACAGAGATAGACTCCAATTCACACACACACAAAAAAGAAAGAAAGAAATTGAGGCTCAGAGAGGCAACTAAAATGTGGCAGTGAATTTATTCCTACCTTGTGATTTTGGAAGGCTGAGGCGGGTTTGCTTGAGGCTATAAGGTCAAGATCAGACTGGCAACATAGTGAGACCTGGTCTCTACAAAAATTTTTTTTTTAATTTGCCGGGCCTATTGGGCATGGTGGCTCACACCTGTAATCCCAACACTTTGGGAGGCTGAGACGATAGGATTTCCTGAGCCCTGGGGTTTGAGACCAGCCTAGGCAACTTGGTGAGACCTCTCCTCTATAATAAATCAAAAAGTTCCAGCTACTTGGAAGGCTGAGGCGGAAGAATTGCCTGAACCCAGCAGGTCGGGGTTGCAGTGGCCGTGAGCAGCGCGCCACTGCACTCCAGCCTGGGTGACAGAATGAGACTCTGACTCAAAAAAAAAAAGAAAAAGAAATCAAAAAATTAGCGAAGCCGGGCGTGGTAGCGCGCGACTGTAGTTCCAGCTACTTGGAAAGCTGAGGTGGAAGGATCGCAGGAGCTCAGCAGGTCGAGGCTGTGGTGGCTGGGAGCGGCCACTGCACTCCAGTCTGGGTGACAGAGTGAGACTCCAATGCAAAAAAAAAAAAAAATTAGCGGGACATGGTGGTGAGTGCCTATAGTTAGCTACTTGGAAGGCTAAAGTGGAAAGATCGCCTGAGCCCAGCAGGTTGAGGCTGTGGTGGCCATGAGCATGCCACTGTGCTCCAGCCTGGGTGACAAAGTGAAACGCTGACTAAAAAAAAAAAAATCCGCCAGGTGTGGTGGCGTGTGCCTGTAGTTCCAGCTACTTGGGACACTGAGCAGGAGAGTCTCTTGAACTCACTGCAACCTCGAACTCACTCAATCCTCCCACCTTAGCCTCTGAGTAACTGGGAATACAGGCACACACCACCATCCCAGATAATTAAAAAAAATATTTTGTAAACTTTTGTTGAACTCCTGGCCTCAAGTGATTCTCCCACCTCAGCCTCCCAAAGTGCTTGGATTACCGCCATGAGCCACCAAGCCCAACCCTCTTAGGTTTTTATGGAACCTTCTTGACATCAGCGTTCTTTCCCCCAGGTACAGGGTGGGACTCTTTGTGGGGAGAGTCTTTTGACCCACAATCAGAAAAGTGGGGCAGGTGAAAGGAAGACAGAAGGTCAGAGAGGTTCTGTTTTTTGTTTTGTTTTGTTTTGTTTTTGAGTCTGAGTCTCACTTGTTGCCCAGGTTGGAGTACAGTGGCACACCTGCTGGGCTCAGGTGACCCTTCCTCCTCAGCCTTCCAAATAGTTGGAACCACAGGCATGTGCCACCATGCCTGGCTAATTTTTTATTTATTGTAGTGACGAGGTCTCTCCAAGTTGTTCAGGCTGATCTTGAACCCCTGAACTCAGGCAATTCTCTTTTTTGTTTTTTTTTTGAATTGGAGTCTCACACTGTCGCCCAGACTGGAGTGCAGTGGCCGCTCCTGGCCACCACAGCCTCAACCTGCCAAGCTCCGGCAGTCCTTCCACCTCAGCCTTCCAAGTAACTGGAAATACAGGTGCACACTACACCTGGCTCATTTTGATTTATTGTAGAGATGAGGGCTCTCCAAGTTGCCCAGGCGGGTCTCGAACCCGCAGGCTCAGGCAATGCACTCACCTCAGCCTCCCAAAGGCGCGGGATTACAGGCTGAGCCACCGAGCCCGGCTCAGGCAATCCTCTTACCTCTGCCTCCCAAAGTGCTGGTATTACAGGCATGTACCACCACACCCAGCTGAAAGGTTCTTTTCTTTTTTGTTTGTTTGTTTTTTGTTTTGTTTTGTTTTTGAGTCGGAGTCTCACTCTGCCGCCCAGGCTGGAGTGCAGTGGCATGCTCACAGCCACCGCAGCCTTGACCTGCTAAGCTTAGGTGATCCTTCTGCCTTAGCCTTCCAAGTAGCTGGAACTATAGCCACGTACCACCACCGTTTTGATTTATTGTAGGGACAACGTCTCGCCAAGTTGCCCAGGCTGGTCTCAAACCCGTTGGCTCAGGCAAAGAGGTTCTGTTTTTTAAGGCCTGCTGCTGAGGCTTGACACATCTAAAATCACAACAAAAGTCAGGGCCTTTGCCCTGGCTCACGCCTGTAATCCCCACACAGTGGGAGGTTGAAGTGGAAGGATTGCTTCGGCCCAGAAGTCCCCTGGGCAACATAGAGAGATCTTGTCACTACAGAAAATAAAAAAATTAGCCATCAGCCAGACTTGGTGGCATGCCTGTAGTCCCAACTACTTGGGAGGCTGAGGTGGAAGGATCACCTGAGCCCAGGATGTTGAGGCTTCAGTGAGCTGTGATCCTGCCACTGCACTCCAGTCTGGATGACAGAGTAAGACTCGACTCAAAAAAGAAAAAAAGAAAAAAAGAACTCTGTGAGTTCTTGGACAAACACACGCATATACATGTAAGTGTGTGTGTGTGCGCGCGCACATGTGAGATATATGTATTTGTGTGTCATAACACCACAGCAAGTACATACAGGACTCAGAATTTGAAGTCTCTGTTCCCAACCTCCACTCTAACACTCATTCAACAAACCAATATAAGCTCTCCTTTGTGTCACACCACACATAATAGAAACTCCACCCTCTCTGAAGCCCTCCTTCAATAGACATGTCTCAGTATCAACAGAGTTCAGAAATGGTCAGAAGCACTTCTGTATATATTCAAACTAATTGCAGATTTATGCAAAACAGCTATTTCAACAACTTAAAGGTGCTTTAATCTGAAAGAAGTTGGCAAAAGACAGCCTTGGGGGGCAGGGGACAACTTCAATCCTCTGCTTGTTTTTGTCAATAAAATTTTATTGCAACACAGTCATGTTCATTCGCTTATGCATCGTGTATGGCTGCTTTCTTGCTACGAGAGCAGAGTTGAGTCACTGAGGCAGAAACCATCTAGTCTTGCCGGGTGCAGTGGCTCATGCCTGTAATCCCAGCACCATGCCCGGCTAATTTTTTTTTTTTTTTTTGAGTCGGAGTCTCACTCCGTCGCCCAGACTGGAGTGCCGTGGCCGCTCCTGGCCACCGCAGCCCTGACCTGCTAGGCTCCGGCGATCCTTCCACCTCAGCCTTCCAAGTAGCTGGAACTACAGGCGCCCGCTACCACGTCCAGCAAATTTTTTTTTTTTTTTTAATTGTAGAGATGAGGTCTCGCTGCCCAGGCAGGTCTCGAACCCGCGGGCTCAGGTTTTTTTTGAGTCGGAGCCTCACTCTGTCGCAAGGCTGGAGTGCAGTGGCACGCTCACGGCCACCGCAGCCTCAACCTTCTGGGTTCCGGTGAACCTTCCGCTTCAGCCTTCCAAGTAACTGGAACTATAGGCGCGCACCACCACGCCCAGCCAATTTTTTGATTTGTTGTAGAGATGAGGTCTTGCCATGTTTCCCAGTCTGGTCTCAAACCCGTGGGCTCAGGCAATCCTCTTACCTTGACCTCCCACCGTGCTGGAATTACAGGCATGAACCACCATGCCGGAATTTTAAAAATATTTCCTAAATCCAATGGATTTGCTTTGTAGCCTCTTTAATCCTGGCTCCTCAGCCCTGGCTCCTCGGAAGAATCATCATCTAGAGAGATAAATAAAACGCTGCCGCTCAGGCCACCTCCCAGACCTACCAAATCTAAATGTCTGGAGGTGGTGCCCTGGCATCAGTATTTGTAATGTTCCCTGGGGTTATTCTGATATGTAGCCAAGGTTGAAACCCATGCTTTAATTAGAGCTAACTGCCTTCATAATGGAGGGCTTAGGTATTGTTCTAATTTCCACATTTATGAGCAATTAAACGGCATGAGAGAGCACTGGGAATTTTTTTTTTTTTTTGAATTGGAGTCTCACTCTGTCACCCAGATTGGAGTGCGGTGACACGCTCATGGCCACCGCAGCTTTAACCTGCTGGGATCAGGTGATCCTTCTGCCTCAGCCTTCCAAGTAGCTGGAGCTATAAGCACACGCCACCATGCCCGGCTAATTTTTGATTTATTGTAGAGATGAGGTCTTACCAAGTTGCCCAGGCCGGTCTCGAACAAGTGGGCTCAGGCAATCTTCTCGCCTTGGCCTCCCAAAGTGCTGGGATTATAGTCGTGAGCCACCGCGCCTGGCCGAGAATTTTATTTTATTTATTTTTATTTTTTGAGTTGGTGTCTCACTCTGTCACCCAAGCTGGAGTGAAGTGGCACACTCGCAGCCACCGCAGTCTTGACCTGCTGGGCTCAGTTGATCCTTCCGCCTCAGCCTTCCACGTAGCTGGAACTATAGGTACGTGCCACCATGCCCGGCTAATTTTTGATTTATTGTAGAGATGAGGTCTCACCAAGTTGCCCAGGCTGGTCTCGAACCTGTGCGCTCAGGCAATCCTCTCACCTCGGCCTCTCAAAGTGCTGGATTATAGGCGTGAGCCACCATGCCCGGCCTCTGGTTGAGAATTTTTAAACAGACAGGAAAAGTTGCTGCAGGAGCCAGAGGGGGACGGACAGCAGCCATCCACACCAGCAGCTCCAGTTTCTCTAAGGGCAGGAGGATTCTGGAAGGCAGAAGAAAGGTCCCCTCTCAGATCCAAGCTGGCAAATCCAATCTTATGCTTCTGCTCTCTCTGTGTGGCACTGCAAAGAGCTGTCCTTGGTGGGTTTCTGAGACTCTGGAGGGAAAGCAATCGAAGCCACAGGGCTTGCGGAAGGCAGCCTCACATTAAGCCTGTTCAGAAGACTTCTACTGCAGAATGTCTGTAAGGCAAGCCTCAGATGCTTTTCAGTTAACAAGAAATGCTGGTTGGCCGTGGTGGCTTACACCTGTAATTCCAGTACTTTGGGAGTCCGAGGTGGGAGGATTGCTTCAGGCCAGGAGTTCGGGACCAGTCTGGGTAATATAACTAGACCACCATCTCTACAAAAACAAAAATAATTAGCCAGGTATGGTAGCATGCACCTGGCAGTGCCAACTGCTTGAGAGGCTGAGGCAGGAGGACCCCCTTTAAGACCAGGAGGTCGAGCCTACAGTGAGTTGCGATGGTGACACAGCACTCCAGCCTTATAGCAGAGAAGCACCCTGTCTTGAAAAAAAAAAAAGTCTGCATAAGACTTTAAAAAGAGATTAAATAAAAGATTCAATGTTAAATCTTTAAAAACATTTGTTTAAAAAAAGCAGCTGGGGGCTGGGTGGAGTGGGTCACGCCTATAATCCCAGCGCTTTGGGAGGTGGGGGCAAGGGAATTACCTGCACCCAAGGGGTTAGAAATCAGACTGAGCAACTTGGCAAGACCTCATCTCTACAATAAATCAAAAAATTAGCTGGGCATGGTGGCACACACCTGTAGTTCCAATTACTTGGAAGACCGAGGCAGAAGGTTTGCCTGAGCCCAGCAGGTCAAGGTTGTGGTGGCCGTGAGTGTGCCACTGCACTCCAACCTAGGCAACAGAGTGAGACTTCGACTCATAAATAAATAAATGCAAATAAAAAACAAACCTTGGCCAGGTAGAGTGGCTCATGTCTATAATCCTAGCACTTTGGGAAGCCAAGGTGAGAAGACTGCTTCAGGTCAGGAGCTCAAGAGCAGCCCAGTTAAACACAGTGATGGCCAGGTGTGGTGGCTCACGCCTATAATCCCAGCACTTTGGGAGGCTGAGGTGAGAGGATTGCCTGAGTCCACGGGTTCCAGACCAACCTGGGTGACTTGGTGAGACCTCATCTCTACAGCAAATCAAAAAATAAGCTGAGCATTGGTGGCGCACGCCTATAGTCCCAGCTACTTGGAAGGCTGAAGTGGAAGGATCACCTGAGCCCAGCCGGTTGAGACTGTGGTGGCCGTGAGCGTGCCACTGCACTCCAGCCTGGATGACGGAGTAAGACTCTGACTCAAAAAAAAAAAACAAACAAAAAACAGTGAGACCCTATCTCTATTTGAAAATGTATTAATTAAATTAATTTTGTTATTATTATTTTTTTAAGTTGGAGTCTCTGTCACCCAGGCTAAACTGCTAATTAGCTAGTCAAGGTAGCTCACGCCTGGAATCCCAGCACTTTGGGAGGCTGAGGCGAGAGGATTGACTGAGATCCCAGGGGTTCGAGACCCACCTGGGCAACTTGGTGAGACCTCATCTCTACAATAAATCAAAAAATTAGCTGGGTGTGGTGGCATGCACCTGTAATTCCAGCTGCTTCGAAAGCCGAGGTGGAAGGATCGCCTGAGCCCAGCAGGTTGGGGCTGCAGTGAGCTGTGATCGTGCTACTGCACTCTAGCCAGGGCGGCAGAGTGACACTCTGACTCAAAAAGTCAAATAAAGTTTTAAAAGAGTCAAAAAAAAAAAAGATTTGCTAAGCAATGCCCCATGAGCTAGCCACTGAGTCCCCATGAACACATTGGCATCTTCACACCATCATGGCACCATCATCATCACAATGGCCATGATCATCCACATCTTTTTTTCTTGAGTCAGAGTCTCGCTGTCATCCAGGCTAGAGTAACAGTGGCATGATCACTGCCACCACAGCCTCAACTGCTGGGCTCAGGTGATCCTTCCATCTCAGCCTCCTGAGTGGCTGGGACTACAAGCATGTGCCACCACACCGGGTCAATTCTTGAATTGATTACAGAGACAGGTCTCACCAAGTTGCCCAGGCTGGTCTCGGACGCCTGGGCTCAGGCAATCCTCTCGCCTCCGCCTCCCAAAGTGCTGAGATGACAGGCATGAGCCACCGTGCCGGGTCGATCACCAACATCTTTATCACCATTGTCACTATCATCATCATCACCTAGCTGGGGGAGTTGGGACAGCTCTGTCTCCCAGATCTGTCTCTGGACATGATGGCTTCCAAGATCATGAGTCTAATCCTGCATCCTGGGATGGCGAGAAATCTAATCTGAGATCCAGATGAGCTCTGGCTGAATGGCTCAAGGTCTGGAGACCCAGCCTTCTCATTTTGGTCCCACAGGGGAGTGAGTTTCAGCGAGACAGCGGCAGCCGACGCTGCCCTTGGCTACATCATCGCCTTCCTGGTACTCCTGTCCACCGTGAAGCTTTGGCATCTGCTCAGGTTGAATCCCAAAATGAACATGATCACATCAGCCCTGCGCCGTGCCTGGGGTGACATTTCAGGCTTTATCATTGTCATCCTTATCATGCTCTTGGCTTACTCCATCGCGGTGAGTGGCTCCCTTGGGAAACCCTGGTCTCTGTGGAACCCAAGGCTACTTTGATGGTGGGAAATGGACGGCTAGGGTTAGAGAGACCCTGAGAACTCAAGATGGTGGCTCTTTTGAGTCCAGGGTCTCTCAGCTGGGAGCTCATGCCCTGGTCACGTCAGATGGCAAGGCCTGGAGACCTCAACTGGGTGGGGGTGGGGAAGCAGAGGCTCTGGGACAGAACTGGCCCAACTCCCCCCATGAAGGGTTCCTTTCTGCCTGGATATACCCGTTCTCCTGTCTTCCCAAGTGGTCACGGGCACAGGGTTACCCCCAGACACACACAGCACTGCCACTGTGCTGGTATAAATTGGGTCACCACGTCTTTGAACTGGGGAGACATAGGGAAGGGAGGGTAGATATGCCCACAGGTCATGCCAGCACTTGTTGCCCAAGACATGACATGTGAACTTAGCAGGGCCAATGCCATTTCATTCCATCCTTTAACCCTGAGAGCATTTTGACAAACATGTCTCCTTTATGACTTGAAAACAAAAACAAGTCTGGGCAAGGTGACTCATGTCTGTAATCCTAGCACTCTGGGAGGCGGAGGTGAAAGGATTGCTTGAGGCCAGGGGTTTGAGACCAGCCTGGGCAACTTGAAGAGACCTCATCTCTACAATAAATCAAAAAATTAGCCGAGTATGGTGGCAGTCACCTGTAGTTCAAGCTACTTGGGAGGATGAGGCGGAAGGATTGCCTGAGCACAGCAGATTGAGGCTGCAGTGGCCAGGAGCGTGCCACTGCACTCCAGCCAAGGTGACAGAGTGAGACTCCGATTCAGAAAAAAAGGAAGAAACCACTACATTTTCAACTTTTTTTTATTATCAAGTAATATGAGGAACAAAGACCCTCTTCATTCTCACTCCCCCTCCACATTCTGGTCTCCATCTGAATATCTCCTCTCCCAGGGCCTGGCCTTGAACTTGTCTAACCTTGAGCCTGATCCTGACACACAGCCCCGCCCCTGCCCTTCCCCATGCTTTCCCCTGGCCCCGTCTAGTCCTTACCTCCCACTGTTCCCAGATCATCTCATCCTCTAGCCCAGACATCCTAGTCCCACATACCATACTGCATATGAGACACACACACACCACGCACACACCACACTACACATCACACACCACACTACACACACACACAAATACCATCCACACCACACTACACACCACATACACATACATACCACATACAACTACACATCACACACACAAACCACACATCACACACACAAATACCATATACACACCACTCCACACCACACACAATCACACGGAACACACACACACCACATACAAATACCACACACACTCCACATCACACACAAGCACACACTGGCACCACACACAGACTACAACCACACTACACACCACACACACACCACAGTACACACCACACACACCTCACAGTACACACCACACACATACACACACCACATGCCACACACACATCACCACACACACAACACACCACACACATTATACACTCCACACACACCACACATACACCACACAGCACATATACACCATAACACACCACCCACCCCACATCCCCCCACCCACACATCACACACTATGTCACACACCACGCACACACACGTGCATGTGTACAGGCATCCATGCCACAGGCGTCCACACACTCTCACACAGGCACACGTGTGTGGCCTTGTACACACAGGCCCACAGAGAGAAACACACATCCCACACAGAACTGGCCATGTACACACCCCCCCAGGCCCCTGTGGGCAATGACAGCTCTGCCAGGCCAGGCCACGGAGGTGACTGACACTGACCCCACGCTCTCCTGTCACACAGCAGGCGTGGGGGCTTCACGGCCTCTTTCCCTGCTCATGAGGATTCTTTCTGTGACAGTCAAACTTAATATTTGGCTGGAAACTCCGTTCCTACAAAACCCTCATTGATGCGGCCGAAACGATGATCAGCCTTCAGCTGGGAGTCTTCAACTACGAGGAGGTACGGAGGAGGGATGGCCCCGGCCACCTACACCAAGCCTTTATGAAAGCTGGAAAAGTGCTTCCTATCACCCCAACCCATCCCTTGGGCCCATCACCTGGCAAGCACAGGGCAACTCTGTACAAACAAAAATGTTCCCCTCCGGCTGAGTTTGGAGGCTCACGCCTGTAATTCCAGCACGTTGAGAGGCCAAGACGGGAGGATTGCTCGAGGCCAGGAGTTCGAGACCAGCCTGGTCAACATAGCGAGACCTTGTCTCTATTGAAAAAAAAAAAAAAGAGGTCCCCTTCCCCTAGGCAGACAGCTCCCGCAGTCCCGGGGAGCCCTGCTCACAGAAGAGCATCAGGAGCTGGCTACTTGGGGGATGTGCCAGGAATCTCCAAAAGGGAACATTCCCACCCCAGCCAGAAATGGCACTTGTGTTTGGAGGTGGCAGCAGTAGGGAGTGGATGCCACCCCTTCCCTCTCTGGGGGCAGCTCTCAAGAGCTCTACCCATACTCTCAGACCCGAGGCAGAGGAGACCTTCCCCCCGTTCCAGGTTCGGCTGGCTCTGAGGACCCATTTACCCTCTGAGTGGAGGAGAGGGCTCCTAGGATGCAGGACCGTGGGAGGACCCTGACTTTCTTCCGGACAGGTCCTGGATGATAGCCCGGTGCTTGGCTCCTTCCTCATTGGGTCCTGCATTGTTTTCATGACGTTTGTGGTGCTGAATCTGTTTATCTCCGTCATCCTGGTGGCTTTCAGCGAGGAGCAAAAGTATTATCAGGTGAGCCCCTCTGGCCTATTCAGGGGTCATTGGACTCGAACTGTGAAAAGGTCAGAGTGGCATTAGACTTTAGGGGGACTTGAAAGACCACATTAGCTCAAAGTCCTAGTTTCATAGGAGGGGAAACTGAGGCACAAAAGGAGGAAAATTATTTCCCCAAGATCACAAGAAAGTGAAGGGCAGAGCTGAGACAAGAATCGGGTCTCAGCCAGGCATGGTGGCTCACACCTGTAATCCCAGCACTTTGGGAGGCAGAGGTAAGAGGACTGCCTGAGCCCACAGGTCCGAGATCGGCCTGCACAACATGGCGAGACCTTGTCTCTATAATTTAAAAAAAAAAAATTAGCCAGGCATGGTGGCACACACCTGTAACTCCAGCTACTTGGAAGTCTGAGGTGGAAGGATCACCTGAACCCAGCAGGTCAAGGCTGTGGTGGCTGTGAGTGTGCACTGCGCTTCAGCCTGGGCAACAGAGTGAGACACTAACTCAAGAAAAAAAAAAAAAAAAGAATCAAGTCTCCTGATTCCCAGTTTGGGACTCTGTGCATGACACCAGTGTTCTCAACCTTGGTTGCACATAGAACCATCTGGGGCCGGACGGAGTGGCTGACCTGCACCTGGGAGGCTACCTGGGATACCTGGGAGGCTAAGGTGGGAGGTTCGCTTGAGTCCAGGAGTTTGAGATTGGCCTGGACAACACAGTGAGAACCAAAAAAAAGAAGAAGAAGTCACCCAGAGTCTTTTGGAAACTACCACTGTACCACTGACCAAAGACCAGTACAAACAGAAGCTCTGGGAAATGACCCAGGCACTGGTGTTTCTGGTATTTTTTAAATCTCCCCAATCATGAGCTGAGTGTGGTGGTGTAAGCCTATAGTCTTGTTATTCCGGAGGCTGAGATGGGGGAATCACTTAAGCCCAGGAGTTCGAGGCCGCAGTGAGCTATGATCACACCACTGCACTCCAGTCTAGGCTACAGAGGGAGACTCTGCCTCAAAATAAAAACAAAAACAAAAACAAAAACACCTAAAACAAAAACAAAACAAAACAAAAGCCAGACTAGGTACCTTACATTTGCAATCCCAGCACTTTGGGAGGCTGAAGTTGAAACTAACCCGGGCAGCATAGCAAGATCCCTGTCTCGATTTGTTAAATTAAAATTTAAAAAAAGAAAAAATAGGAAATTTCCTCAGGTGATTTTGAGAACCTGTGCACCACACTCTGAAAGACAGCAACAAGCTGAGGACCGTAGAAGACACAAACTGTGGGTTAATAACCAACAGCGCCATCTACAACTTCACAACGGAAGTTGTGCTAAAGATGTCACACATATTATTTTATTTAATCCTCAAAACAGCTTGGTGAAATGGGTACAGTTATTCGCATCTTACAGAGAAGGAAACTGAGGCTCAGAAAGTTGAAATCATTTAAATAGGGCCATTAGCTAGAAATGAGAAAAGGGGAGATTTGAACCCTAGTCTGTTCGACTCAGATGACTGTTTTTTTTTTCCTGTCCTTCTGGAGGCTTGGTCCTATGAAGGATGACCTATTAGTAGACGGGTCTCCCTTTGGATTCCGGTTGGAAAACGCCTTAAATCTGCATGCCTAACAAAGAGACCGTCTCCTTCTTACCCCAAATACTGAAGAAAAAGTAAAAACTTGATGACACTGTTCTTGGATGTTTTTTTGATTTCCACCCAAGAGTAGCAATTTGTTGTTGTAAATTGCGAAACATTCCATAAAGTTTACACACTAACTCATGTTAGAGGATAACTTAATTTTTTTGTTTTTATTTATTTATTTTTTTTGAGTCAGAGTTTCACTCTGTCGCCCAGACCGGAGTGCAGTGGCATACTCATGGCCACTGCAGCCTTGACCTACTGGTCTTAAGTGATCCTTCCGCTTCAGCCTTCCAAGTAGCTGGAACTACAGTCGTGTGCCACCACACCCAGATAATTTTTTGATTTATTGTAGAGATGGTCTTGCCATGTTGCATGGGTTGGTCTCGAACCCCTGAGCTCAGGTAATCCTCTCGCCTCGGCCTTCCAAAGTGCTGGGATTACAGGCGTGAGCCAACATGCCTGGCAGAGGATCACTTTAAAAAGATAGGTGCTTTTCTGAATGCAGGAAATTATTGATCATGCAACTGAGTATCTCAGTCTTAACATGCATTTTGAAGATTTTTTTCCCCCTTCTCTCTTAATCTTAAGCCTTAAAACATATTTTCGAAACTTCTTGGCTGGGTGCAGTGGCTCACACCTGTAATCCCAGCACTTTGGGAGGCCAAGGCAACATAGCAACTCCTGGGCACACGAGTTTGAGACTAGCCTGGGCAACATAGCAAGACCTCATCTCTATAATAAAATAAGGGCTCAATGGCTCAGTCTGTAATCCCAGGGGCTAATCTTTTTTTTTTTTTTGAGTTGGAGTGTCACTCTGTCGCCCAGACTGGAGTGCAGTGGCCACTCCTGGCCACCGCAGCCTCGACCTGCTGGGCTCCAGTGATCCTTCCGCCTCAGG